TCCCTACTATGGAACGTGGAGGGAAACAGCATGTGAAAAAGTCTGTTCTTCCCATTGGCTTCTGAAAACTTTGCTTTCCTCCCTAACTTTTAGGATTTTTACTTTCTGTGGTATAGGATCCCTTCTGCTGAGCTGCTCGCTTCTGCCCCAGCCGCAAGCCTTCAGGCGCCATTCAGCAGTGCTGCTGCCCTTCCAGTGCTACACTGGGAAATTCCAGGCAGGCTCCTACCCCAAGCAGCACCATTTTCTTGCTTTCTAGACCTTAGTAAGGCTATCTGTTTTATTTTAGTATTTTAAATGACAGTGTAACCCTGGAATTGCTGCTCCAATTGGAACCCATAGATTTCATTTTGGATAATTTTGTTGGAGAGTATTGCTCAGTGTTAGCTGTGTTAAAATGCCTCTAATGTGCTCCAAAGGAACCCCTGAGGCTTTTCCTTCAGACTAATTTAGTCTACCTCTGTGAGCCTAATTTACTTTCCTTTACATTTCTTCGAACTGCTATAGATCATGTATTCTTCTGTCAAGAATCATAGTCAAAAGTTAGCAGGAAAGAGCTGCATCCACTGGTAGGCTTGAAGGTGTTTTTAAAGCTACTCTCAGTAGAGAGGATGGGGGCAGCACAAGGTGATGATGATCACCAATAACTCACTACCTTTCTCAATTTTTTTTTTAACTTTTCCCAGTCATTTATGATGATCAGTTCCTCTTTGAAACTGTGACTTTCCTTATGATATTAATCATACATGTACAACTGCTTCAAACTCTGAGCGTCTTACCTCCATGCTATTTTAAAAAGTCTTTTAGCCTCATTCTTACTTGTGAGTTCTAGTCTTTAATTTCCAACCATCTTTAGAGTATTTCCATTTAATTTTACTACCCTGCCTCCCAAATTTCCCATTTTGTCCGTTGCATTACCACTCTTTCTGAACTTAAAAAAAACAACTTGGAATCATCTTGAAAGTCTCTCATCCCTTTTATCAAGCATGTTGTAAAGTCACGTATCTTTCTGTGCACGGCCTCTTTGATTTGTTACACCTTACCCATTTTCACTGTCACCTTTTTATTCTAGTGGATTTCACTACATGTCTAAATTATTTCAGTAGCCTTTTGATTGGATCTCCTTGGTCTACGTTACCTTTTCCCTCTAATCCATCTGGTCCAAAGTGACCAGATTAGTTTAAATAAAGTGTCGCTTGTTTTACTGCTTTCCTGCTGGAGATCATTCACTTCCTTCTCATTACTCTTAAGGTCGGTTTAGGTCTTGACGCTGAAGGTCGCCCATTTTGTCTGTCCTGCTTTATCTCCCACTGCTCTTGGAGATCATCTCCTTCATTAAGCAGGGTTCTCTGTGGTTTTTCTGCACTTGCCGTGGCTGTGCTTTTCTCCTTGCTTTTGTAAATGTTCTGGACCATGCTGGTGGTTTCACTGCCTCCCATCTACCTGATCTCTCTGGATTTGCTCAGAAAAGCTTCCCTATTTCCCCAAGTCGCTGTTAGCTTGCTGTTTCCTAAAAAAAAAAAAAAAAAAAAACTTTCTGTATACTTTTCATTTTTCCCCAGTTAGACTATAAGCCCTTTGAAAATAGGGACTCGCCCTATTCTACTTTTGTATTGGTGCTTGGCAGTTTTTGGATGGGTATTCAGAAAACATTTAGTTAGTGAGATTATTAAATAAGAAATTCAACTAGTGTGTTAATATAGTGGACGTTTCTGGTTCAAAGATGATTTTAGCTTTTGAGGTGTTTGTTTCCTCTGCCAGTTTGTTGAGTTTAATTGAAATCAGTAGCTTGATGGTGACTTTTTTTCTGTAAATTTGGTAAAATTTTGATAAGTTGATTTTCTGTCTAAAAATCCTTATTTCCTAGAAGATTAGGAGTTTCTCACAATATTTGCAAAAGTTATCAATTTGAATGTGATTCCAGGAAACTAAATAGTCAAAATATGAATCTATTGGTCAGTATGTTCCTGGGAACAACAAACCAAGATTCTCACCTGCATGCTTGCCTGATAGAAGTGTTTGAAAGTCTCCGTAGACGCCTTTTAAGATGTTGGAAGGGTGGTCTCTCGAGAATTTGAATCAAAATGAGAGAACATCCAGTAGTATGACTGTAACTAAAATACTGCAGTCATCTTAAGAATAATTTCACAGATCTGCAGACGGTTCATTAGAGGAGAAATGAAAGGCTCCTATATAAGATAAAACAAAAAGATTGTATTTTCAGTTTGGAGAAGATATGCACAAATAACCTGTATTAAGGGTCTCTACTTCAAACTTGAGGATTTTGTGTGGTGGTGCACATGAAAACAAAAGGAGGTCTCCTGCGCAGGGTGCCAAAATCAAGGTGATGTTAAAAAATTGCTTTTGTATATTTTCATTTTCTGTTTTGAATTTGAGCTCATGGAAGATAACAACCGTACTTGCCTGCTGTTCTGTCTTTGTGCCACTGTCAGAAGCAGGGGCCTAGGCCAGAATGACCCAAAGAGCAAATGAATATGGCATTTTGTGTGTTCTAATCAAGACACAACCTGGATGGAAAGTTAGCTGAAAACATTTGTTTGTGTGTTTTTAAGAAAATGATGAACAATTGGTCTAGAATACCACTAATAAAGATGATGCTGTTTTCAGCTGTCTTTGGAGACGTAGACATCTTCAGAATACTCATGAGTGTATTGTGGTTAGAGAGAAAATAGCAACCTCATCTTTACTTCCAAACATGGTATAAACCTTCACCTAGTCAAGAGATAAATATATTGTTCCTTTACTTAATCTTAAGCACTTTCTGTTTTGTTTTCCATCATTTCTTAAATGTTTATATCACCTTGCTTGGTTTTCTCCTCTTTCTCTGCTGAAATGATCCTTTGGAGTTTCATTTCTTTCTTGACTTTCTGCTGTTAGCAGGGAGCTCTTTGAAAAGTCTTCCCAGGGTACTGAATATTTTCCATATTTCCTGCATATTTTTATCGAAGAAGAGTACCTTTATGAGAGTTTTGTTAGTTCCTTTTTTCAAAAGCAGAAGACAAAAAAGACTGTCCTACTTTGTTGTACAGGAGCAACCTTGTTAACCTGTTGAGCACGTAAGTCATGGGTAGGAGAGCCATATTTCTGTTAAGTACTATTGACAGAAAAAAGTCAGTCAAGAGAGCTACCTGTAGTTTAAAATAAGCTAATTCATATGTTGTGTATCATGTAGGGGGAGAAGGAAAATGATAGAAAGAGGAAGAATAAAATAATTCAGACTTAATAGCTAGCTTACAAGTGTTTTTTGTTTGTTCATTTTAGAAGTAGTGAAATGCCTTTATGACAAAAGACTGTTGCTTTCATTCTTTGCCAAGCCAGGAACGTAATTTGAGAGAGGAGCTATATTATTCCTAATGCCTAAATGTTATGCTTGGCAACTGTATTTATTTCATTGTTCTGAGCCCCTCTCCATGCCTTTTTAAATACAATTCAATCTTCTCATCTAGCTTGGTTCTATTTAGAATCAGACAAAACAATGACAACAATTTTTTTTAACTCTAAAAGATTTTTTATGATTAAATCTAGACGTTATTAAGAATGAACATTTTTGATTCAATCTTCAGAAGTAAAAATTAAAAGGTAAGGCCTGCGTTTTCAAGATAAGTTTGTAGATTGGGTTTCATAATTGGAGTCATCTCTTCATCATTCTCTGCCCTTTTCCAAAGGCTGTAAACAACAAGTCATATACTTTGTGCCTTGTCTGAGAAGCGTAACCTAGAACCTAAAGGTCCCTTTAGACAAGAGCGTAATAAAATAATTTTAGAATGAGATTCTATTCTACCTTGTAAGAAGAGGATATACCTTCTAGCAACAAATTCTAATATTGTCAAAAATCATTTATATCTAAACACTTTCGTGTACTGAAAGATGAGATGTCATCTTAAGTCTCACAGACCTGGGAGCATTCTTACAGTAAGGGGGCTGTGTTAGTTTCACTTTCCTGCTCTCTTTTAACTCAAATGGTGGAATAATCAGTCTGCTTTCTAGTTGAGAGTCTTTTGAAATAAACTGTTTAATGAAGCTTATGCAGTTTTAGATCATTGAGCAGTCGTGTCTTCATATCTTCTAGAGATCTCACTGTAGTTTTCCCATGGTATATGAGGTGGCTAGAAGCTTAAGAGGTTCGTAGCATCTGTCTTGGTGATAGATTTTGGAAGAGTCTGAAAGATGATCTGTCTTGACTTCCTCAGATTGAACTTTCAAGCTGATACTTGAAGTTGCTCTATACATTAATCAATGAATAAAATGTCTTAGCAAGCTTATTGTGTAGTGTGAGATAGACGCTCCCCCAAGATTTTGCCTGCACTAGCCCTCCCCCCGCCGTGTGTGTGTCTATCTACAGTGCTTGGCATGTGACTGCAGGTTGTCGTATGGTGTTTTAAAGTTTACTGAGGAAGCACTGGCATATTCAGATCTAGCACTGTCTAGTATGTATAGTAAATGAAACTTCTTTTGGAACTGAATCTTTTAGTTATAGTCCTTGCTTTAAAGTCAAGGGGAGAATTTTTCTTTAAAAATATGTGTTTTGCTTGTTGTCTTATATATTCTTTTTAGATAGAAAAGTAAAGCTAAAGAGATTGAGCAGACGCTGAATTGTTGCCACTCTAGATCCCAGCGCTGATGTCACACCCACTCTTAGTCTAGCAGTGAGTAGTGAGAGACATTTGGAATCCATTTTTCCCCCCATCCAACCTTGACTATTAAATAAGACTGACAGCAAAGATTTAGGGATTAGAAATACTGTGTACTTTGTTCTGCTACGTTTCAACAAGAATCAGCATGTAAAGTTGAAATTTCCTGACCAGAATTTGGAAGCCTATGATGTGATTCTCTGGGCCTTGATGCCAGAAGGAGCTCTCTGAATATGGGTTTTCTAGTTGGTGGTGAATTCGTGAGTCGCCAACTATTAGGCCTTTATGTCCAGATATTATCTCAATTTATGGAGTAAGGTCCCTGAGTTCTCCTCTTTCCTTCCACAGGGCAAGCAGGAGGACTTCAAGACGACAGTTCTGGAGGGTATGGAGACGGCCAAGCATCAGGTGAGGGTGGCATTAGATGCTTGCCACTTAGTAGCAAGAGCCGCCAAGTCAGGGATTGATGCTTGCAAGTGTTTTTGGCTGTGGTATCCACATTTTAGCCAGAAGCGCAGGGAAAATTGAGCCCACAGGACAGAGTAGTATGATAAGAGAGGTGTAGCGAGAACAAAGGCAAGCAAAACCTTTTGAAGTCCTCAGGCCGATCTCAGCCCTCCACTCTTCTTCGTGTTTTTGAGGAGATGGCGGGTACTTTTCTCCCCAGCAGCCTTTGTAGTTAACAGTAAACCTAATATAAAACATAGATTTAGGAATTGTGGGACCTTTAAAAAGAAATAGAGCTGTATACACAGAGTGGAGAAGCCGTAGGCTGAAAGCGTTCCCGAAAAATAGGCCTGAAAGGCATTGTAGGACTAGTTAGAGGAATTATGCAGGCAAGTACCTCTTTAGAAATGTGGTTACATGGTGACGGGTACGTTTATGTTCAGTTAACATTGCATAGTTAATCATTTTGAAGTTTAAGCAGTTTGTTTCTTACATGAATATTAATCTTTAAAAAAAAAAAACCTGCTCAGAATGCTCTTACTTTTCCAACCAAACTATGAGATTTTTTTACTTTTAGGAAAAGGTAAAGGGTTAAATGATTTATAGGGGTCCATCTGGAACAGTTAAAATTTGTTCCAGGAATCCAAAGTAGTATGTCTGGATTTCATCCATTGCCTCTTTTAAAGGATGTTTTTGTGTGTTCCAGTGCTCAAAGCTGGTTATGTATACATTTGGATAGAATTGGAATAGATATTACTTCACTTTTGTAGTTTGTCACTTTTCAACTGTTAGGTCTCCTTTAAAATTATTTATCTGTTGTTAGTGTATAGCAGGTCCAGGGTATATTTGTATTGTACTCTCTTGGATCAAAGATAGTTCATTGCTAACACAGAGGTTAGTATTTAGGGGATCCAGAAGGTTAGAAGTAGACTTCTGTAAATGCTGTGTCAAGGATTGGCGGTTGATAATCAGTGCATGGTCATTGTGGAGTGATAGTCCTCATCCAGAGTCTGTATCTGTCAGATAAACCTTCAAGAATGCTTTTCACTGAGTGATGCACAGCTGGGTCTTCCGTGGAACTGTTGAGGATCAGGAGCAGCCTTTAGAGCTTTAATCTTGAAGACGTGCATTTTCTTGTTGGTTTTTGTTTTGTTTTTACGTGAATAAATTTACTCTTTTGCTTAAGTAAACAATACGGTGTATTGCTGAAAGTAAAAGTGGACTTTCATGTAAAACTGTGGTGCTACTGACGTAATGTTAGCAGAACTTGAGTTGTGAGTGTTTCCAGGAGCGGTGGTGACTGTTCTGAACTCTTCAAGATCTCTCTTCAGACCTTTGGTCATGTTCAGAAGCATGCACTTGTGGGATGATCAATCAAAGGTAGCACCATGCTTATAAGTGATCAGAGTTCTTCTCTTGATAAAGCCAGATGATCCTCATGAGTATCTTGGGACCAGGATCATATCTTGACTTTTTAAAATCCACATCAAGTTGGCCTATACATCCTAAATCTTAAAAGTAAGAAGGGAACTTGAGGTCATGATGTCTAGCTTCCTGCCTTCAAACAAATAGTACTGTATAACCCCTATTTTATGGATTAGCACCTGAACACAAAGTCAATGACTGGACCAGGGGCACACCAGCAGTTGGAGTGAGAACCCAGAGGTCTTGTTTCTTACACATGGACTATTCCTTCCACTCTCCCTCATAGAATCATTTAATGTGTGTGTCAACCCTAAAAATAAAAAATCTAAAGCATAAGAAATCGTGATTTTCCTTTTTTTCTTTTTCTCTCCTCTCCCCCTATTCTTTATTCTTCTTAAACTATTATAGGACTGGATATGGTGCATCTCTAGTTTACTGATTTTAAGTAGTCCTTTATATGTAGATCCTATCAGGCTTTTGTTTTCACTCTTCAGCTAGAAATCTAGTTGTAGTTAATTTATCTACTTTATGAGAGAAAAAAGGCAGGTAACTCATGGAGACCTCCTTTTCTTTCCTGTAATTTTAATATCTCTGTTACCTTACTCCCTGTATCATATTAGAATCAGGGAGGAAATGATTTCATGGACTAGACGGCCTGTATCCTCCTCACGTCTCCCCTCCTCTTTTCTGCCTAATTGCTCTGTATGGAAAGGCCTAAATTATTCCCTTATTTAACTTCTTTTACTGTGTTTTCAAGTGTGAGTGAGTCAGACCATTAGAAAGGGCAGTTCTGCTTTAGCATGACTGCATTTTGAAAGATGATGCTGGAATTTCCGGTGTGAAGTGGTGAGAAAGAGGAGTTGAACAGAGGGCAGGATTGGTATGTAGGCAGCCTTGGGGCTTTTAGAAAATTAGGATGGCATCTTTGAAACGTTCTGAATTTCCAGAATACCAGATTCTGTTAAAGTGTAAAACAAACACCAGAGTATAAGACTGTGTTCCAGAGCCAAGTCTAAATTACTTCTGAGTTATATATACTACTGCTACTTCCTTTTAATAAGGGTGTTATTAGAGTCAGTTGTTGTATTCTTTAAGGTTTTTCCCTCTAAAGGAGATACTTATGAGTTAGATTATCCAGAGTGGTCTGTTAGTTCATTTTGGAAATATCCTATAAAAAGGATGTTTTGATTTAGCTTCTGAACGTTTTAGGTTCCAAATTAACATTTTTTGTTTCTTTGAAAAAAGGTTTAGATTTTTATCTTGCACACTTTTCACCTTGATTTTGATAATGGTCTTTCTTCCTTTTCACCTTGATTTTGGTGATGGTCTTTCTTCCTTGAGATAATTCTTCATCTGTAAAAACCAAAGGAAGGAAATAATTACTGAGAGTTTTTAGAGACCATTTTTCATTTTAAAAAATTGATAAAGTATTTAAGAATAACCAGGGTTTTTTAAATATCTTATGTACAAGATAGAGATGGAGAAGAATGTTATTTCACGCATACATTAATGTCACAACTTTTGGCTTCTTTAATTCCTTTTTTTAAACTTTTGATGTTTGATTTAAAGATGCTGTAAAACTGCCACATGACTTATATAAGTAAAATTTCTTAATTGTTACATATTTTCAAGATTCCCAAAGTTAGCCAACTATATTAGAATGATTTTTGATGATAAGAACACATGGAATGAGAAGCCAAGTGTAATATAAAATTTAGTGGGTTTTTCTACACGGTTTTCCTGACTGTCATTGACAGTAGTATTTTGCAGTAGGATTGATGTTCAGTGACCGCTTATTAAACATAGAAGATAATATAGCTAAGAAAGAAAACTATCCCTATTTTTGAGAGGGAGAAATAGAGTTTATAGAGTTCATTGGTTTTCATGTTAATACTATACACTCATGAAATATACCAAGAAGTAACCAATTAAGGGATATTTGGTCCCAATACTCTGGATTATTGTGTAGGTAATGCTCTTTACAATGTGACGTGTTTCGGGTCTTGGTTTTGTTTTTTGTTTGTTTAGTTTGCTGTGATTTGGGGATAGGGGACTGGGGACGTCAAAGCTGTGTAGTTTAGAAAATTTCACATTACCAAAATAACTTATACCCCTGATAGTCAGCATTTCTTTTTTTCTTAATTTCGTGCTCCACCCTCAATAGTATGGCTTTTACTGATTATTATTTTTCCTTTAGGAATAATGAATTGTCCTGACAGTCTTTAATTTTAGGGTGAGGATCATTAAATGTGAGGATTGTTGATTTAGTAATGGGAACACAGTATTTGTACCCTTGTTATCTACTGTGGATGGATAGATTTTTCTCCTTGTCTCCGAGAACAGTGTTTCTTAATGTGCAGCCCTTATTAGCATTAGGCATTTTTGCTTGACCTCTTTTGAACCATTTTTTTTCCCTAGGTAGTGTGTGAATGTCTTTGTGGAAACAGTACCTTAATAGCTTAGCTATAATTTTCTGTTACTTCTTTACCTGCCTTGATCTTGTTATTTTCCTAGTCTTACTAATGCCTTTCCTTTAATTTAGCTTCCATTATCAGTGCTTCCAACTTCTTGTTTTAGTGCTTTAAAATGATTAAATATAGATATCTGGTACCTATTTTGTTACTCATATATAATTACTTCAATGATATTGAATTTTAAAACTCTTTAAATTGTGTCCTGATATTTTCATAAGCTGGTGGTTGGCTATATCTTTACAAGGTGATCTTAGAAGTACAAATAAAATATATGTAAAGTATTTCTGAGGACATCTCATAAAGATATACTTAACTACCAGCTTATAGAGTAATAATACCTAAGTTTAAGAGTTTCAAAATAACATATATTTTACTTGTAGTATATAGGGTATGTCTACACTATATGCATATGTACTATATGCAGTAGCATATTTTACTTATAATTTGTACTAAAGCATTTCTAATGTTTCCTCCAGAAAAGGTAACTGGCTTGCTCTCTTCCGTCTCCTTGTTGTAGTCTGCTTGCTCTCTCACTGTTTGCCAACCTTGAATTGTGAGAGCTGATGGGTGGTACCCTGGCGAGGCCGTGCATTTTGTACTGGTCCTTATGAAGCCTCAGAGTCCTCTCCTGTTCTACTGTAATCCTAAAAGAAGGCGTGGGACTGTGTTTTTCTCTCCATAGCCTCCTTTGCTTTCCTGTTGTGTTTTCCTTTATTCTGGTTCTCTAGTTTTAAAATTTATTGTACACTATCAATGATGCTAATTTTAATTAGAGTATCTAATATTAAGTTATTTTGAGGATAAAGAAAATATTCTAAATGTCTTGTTATGTCTTATAAGGTATATTGTTTCATTCATCAGTAAACTGCAATTTTTGGAATGTTAAGCTCAAAAGAGTGACTAAATTTTAAGGATGTTTTAGCTTTTGTGCAAATTGAAAGTTTTTTCTAAAAAAAGGAGGTGAGCTCAGTCTGAATGAGGCAAAGCTGTACAGAGGTTCTTCTGGCAAAAAGAGTTTGAAGGCATGATCGTTAGGCCTGGTTTTGTATTCACTTGCGCTTTTCCCAGAAGTCCTTTGCTTTCTTTGCTAGGTGTGGAGGGTGCAGCTTTCCAGAGTAGACTTCCTCACGACCGGATGACATCTCAGGAAGCAGCCTGTTTCCCAGACATCATCAGTGGCCCACAGCAGACCCAGAAGGTTTTTCTGTTCATTAGAAACCGCACAGTGAGTTTCTGTGTCAGCTTTTTTCCACCTGGATTATAAAGAGTGCATGTTACTTTTACAGAGAATATGGGGAAAAATAGAGAGGAAAGAATTTTAAAATTATCTATAATCTATTATCCAGAGATACCCATTGTTAACAATTAGTTGTTTCTTTTCCTTCAGATATTTTAAAAAACATATGTTTAATTTTTGTTTTCACAAAATTGAGATCCTACTTCCATGCCTTCTTTGGATCCTTTTCATTCCTCATAACCTCATAAACACACAGTAAGAATCTTTATTTAAACATTTCTTTAAAATATACTTTTAAAATAATCACTTTGGGGGCCAGCCCAGTGGCATAGTAGTTAAGTTCACATGCTCTGCTTCCGTGGCCCCTGGTTCACAGGTTCAGATCCTGGGCACCGACCTAGCGCCATGCGATGCTGCGGCAGCATACCACATAAAATAGAGCAGGATTGGCACAGATGTTAGCTTAGTGACAATCTTCCTCACAAAAAAAATAATTAAAAAATAATAATATTAATCAGTTTTCCTTCCCAGGATAAGAAAGACCTTTATTCTGTTCTTCTCGTCTGGTTCAACCTCCACCTCTGGCTAAATGATTGATTTTAATATCTGCATAATATTTTGTCCAACAGTCGGTCGCACATTAGCTGTTGGGCATTTAATTTATTAAATATTAATATTTAATCTATTATTAAATATTAAAATTTAATTTATTAAATGTTAATACATATTTTAAATTTTTTTGTTTTATTAAGCTCTGAACAGCTTTATACATTCTTGACTCTATCTCTGGTTATTATTTCGTATGATAGATTTCTAGGGGGAAAACAACCTTGTCAAAAAGTATGAACAGTTTTTAAGTTTTGATTCATGTTGTCAGATTGCTTCCCGGAAAGGCTGAACCAGTTGACAGCCCCCATTGCTCTGTTCCTGTTTTTGGTGTTAAAACAATGATAATTGGTGCTGCTATAATAATAGACCAAAACCATTTCATTATTTTCCATTTCTTTGATTACTTTGACTGCTTTTTCACATTTATTAGTCACTTGTATGTGTTCTGTGAATTTTTCTTGCGTGTCCTTTATTCATGAGAGATTCTGTAGCCGTAGAGTAGAGGAGGGCAAGCCTCTATCAGAACATACCCATTGTCCTCTAGGGTGACGCAGAGAAGAAGGAGTTTATGTTGTGCTTTCAGCTGTTCTGAATGTAGTTCAGAGGTGTCATTTCAGCATGTCTGCTTTGTGGTCACCACTGACTTCTTTATGTTGGCTAGTAGACTGCAAAGACGCTACTAAATTTGGATTGTTAAATGGCATTTAACTAGAGCGATTGGTAGGTCGTACTGGGTTTTTGTAGAACAGAATAAAGGTTCTCTTTTGTGAGGAGAAAACAGGGTGATTTTTTTAAAAAAAGAATGGAAAAATTCTTAATGTGTATTTCTGAGGCCAATCTGTCTTATAATTGAATCAGCTTCTGTGTATAGCATATCAACATTTGATCTAAGTGGATATTTTAGACAAAATCGTGATTTTTTTTTTTTCATCTGAGGGGCGTTTTCGCTTTTTACTTGAATTCCAGTGGTGTAGTTACAGTGATCTCTGTTTTCGCTAATTCATTTCCTGTGATCAGAAGTCCAGATTTGGGGAAGGACTAGCTCAGGTTAGAGTTGTCATTTCTGGCTGTAAAACAGAACATGAGTCATTCTCTCCTGTAAGAATTCTATCAGTTCTCTCATCTTAAACTACATCTTTTGCTTCCAGATCTTAAAAGCACAACTTTAGGATTATTAAACTAGAACTATGACCTGAGCTAGAACTATGACCTGAGCTTTATTTTGTAGGATGGAAGGAGGAAGAAGGCTTGTATTGAGGGGTGAGGACCTTGGGTCCAGTGTGTACTTCAGGAATTCCGCTTTCCCTTGCTAGTGGCCACAGAGAAAAGTAGAGGATGCATGTGGATTTGGTCATATCTCTTTGTAATTGGGTTTATTTACACATAACCAAATTAACTCCTTCATTGAAACTTGTCTATGGAGCAGTCTTTATTAATTTTTAGCTGACTTAAATATGATGGTATTTGGTTGGTCTTGCATTTTGCAGATGTATATTCAATTTCAAGAGAATTCACGTTAGAGTCCATTGTTTGTACCATAATATTTTAATTCCCCATCTTACTGCTTTTTCAACTGTATTTGAAGTAATTACCACTCCTTTCTTAAACATACAGCTCTCTTAGCTTAACACAGTATTCTGGCTTTTCTCCTGCCTCCCTGGTTATTGTCTTCTCTGACTGCTTTGTAGGGATATCCTTAACAACAGGCCATTATGTGAACTGGCATAAGTTCCTTAAGGCTGCTTAAGGTTCTCTCCTCTCTCCCCTGTTTTTCCCCCAGGAGTCCTCTTCTGCACATTTGGCTTGAATTATCACCTGGAAGCAAATGTCTCCAGATCTTAACTCTCCTCTGAGCCCCAGATCTTATATCTAGATGCCAATCTTATACCTCCTTCTGGTTGTCTTGAAACTAAACTCATTATCTCTTTTTTCAGTGACCCTTGTTTAGAGAGTGGCATACCAACTCACTTAGTTTTGCAAGCCAATAACTGAGGTGTTATCCTTGGCACTTCTTTCCCCCCTGCCTCTGCATATCTAATCACTCATTTGTTTTTGTGGATTTGATCTACTCACTGTCTCTGGAGTCATGCAACCCAGGTTTCAATCCTTGTTCCTCCCTCCCACCTGTGTGATCTCGGCAAATTACTAGGTATTTTTCTTTTTCAGGCTAAATATCTTCCAGCTTCTTTAATAATTCGCTCATTTGACGTGGTTTTGTGTTTTGTCAGTTCTTTGTCAAGAGTGTAACCCTCAATGTTTCAATGAATGGAAAGCCCATATTTAGGGCCTTAAAAAAGTATATTTTAAAGTGGTCAAGTGGTGTTTGTCTGTGTGTAATACAATTTCTATCATTTAAATACAGTTGCAGTTGTGGTTGGATAATCCAAAGATTCAGCTGACATTTGAGGCTACTCTCCAGCAATTAGAAGCACCTTATAACAGTAAGTAGTGTGTTGAGTAGGACTAGTTTTGGACTGGATTGTGAAAATTGGTATTTCCTTCCAGGAGGCTCATGGTTCCTTGATAATGAATTTTTTCATTCATATTTCCATCTTATCTCACCTTGTGTTATGCAAAAATGAGCCTTGGAGAAAAACTATTTTGCATTATTTGTAATTGTTTTTCTGGTTTTGAAATTGTGTTGACAGGTGAGTGGTTTCAAGAGATTCCTAATAATTTCCCCAGACCTATGTTCCAACTTTAATCCATGGAGTACTTGTGGACTGCAATTGGCTGGCTCTCTGAATTTCTCATTTCCCACTTGGTACCAACAAAGTCTTGTAAAGTTTTGCCAAAGTAAACGAGCATAATATCACTTTAAAAAAGGTTTGTTTTGTCCTTCATTTTATCTATAATGGAATGCCATTCTTAAAAATTCCAAATTATGTGATATGCATTTTGGACTACCTCACAGACTGGTTGTTCTGAGAATCACTTTTCTAAAGGAGTCACATGATCTGAAGCTCATGGAAAAGATGTATGGAATGACTGCGTGATGGAGAAGTAGAATGATTAAAGAGTTTCCTATTTAAACTGCTAAAAATATAAACATGTTTTTAAATTTATTTATTCTGTAGGTGATACTGTACTTGTCCACCGAGTTCACAGTTATTTAGAGCGTCATGGTCTTATCAACTTCGGCATCTATAAGAGGATAAAACCCCTCCCAAGTAAGGATGTGGCCAATGAATTTCCTGGTTTTAAGTTATGATTCTAGGAGTCTATTTTATCTTTTTTTTTTTAAAGATTGGCACCTGAGCTAACAACCATTGCCAACTTAACCACTCAGCCACGGGGCCAGCCCCTATTTTATCATTTTATTTCCAGGAGACTTCTGGTATTATATTTAGTATCTATATTTGGAGCCAAAATATTCCCAAGTTTATCTTATAAGTCAAATTTAAAGTAAAATCTTTTTATCCATGTGCATTACCTGTAATTTCTGGTTTAATAAGTACTTTGTAAAAGATACTGAATTTCCAATTTAAGAAAAATCAGTTTAAAAATTTTGTTAAAAATGAACCAAGTCAGTTATGAAAGCAGGAAGTTTGAGATTTTTCTCTCATTGACCTTCTTTATACTGCTCAAGGTTGCATTTCTTTTCTTTTCTTTTGCTGAGGAAGATTCACCCTGCCAGTCCTCTATTTTGTATGTGGGACACCACCACAACATGGCTTGATGAGTGGTGTGTAGGTACACCATCAAGCTGCCCCCACATTTCTAGTTTTTAAATACTACTTATTTTTAGAATTAATACATTTATTTGCTTATTTATAATACATTTATTTTTGATGCTTTAGTAATTCTTTATAAAGGAATACTAAAGACTACAGGAGTAGAGCTTAAAGAAAATAGTTTTAAGAACAAATAAGTTGACTGCTCAAATTATCCTAGTATAATTGTAAGGTAAATGAAGTAGATTATTCATAATAAGTTGACCAAGGGTCACAGATACTGAAGCATGTGACTGAGGTAAGATAATTTCAATTATTAATTTTCAACATTGAATTAAAGTTTATAAGTTTCAGCTATTTGCTACTTTGTATTCAGATAGTTTCCGTATTTTGAAAATAACTCTCTGAATTGTTTTCTTTGTAAGACATCATGACATGTTAAGAACCTAGAAGTTTTTATGATATAAAAAAATGATAAATACAAACTCTCAAACCTATAATAAAATATTCTAATTTTTGTTCATTTTTTATTTTTAGCTAAAAAGACAGGAAAGGTAATTATTATAGGCTCTGGTGTCTCAGGCTTGGCAGCAGCTCGTCAGTTACAGAGTTTTGGAATGGATGTCACACTTCTAGAAGCCAGGGTAAGAATTTTATTTCGGGTTTCGAAGCCTTAGCTAATGAAAATGTGGTAAAGAAATTATCTGTTGCAAATTAAGGAATCATACAACTTGAATTAAACCAAACTGATTTGTATAACATTCAAAGTATTTTGAATAGTGTTATTTATATTGGTTAAAGTGCTTTTGATAGTACAACTTTGAAAAGTGCTCAGTGAGTATTTAGACTTTGTAAATGATGTTTATAGCCTTTAGGTGGATATTTTCAGGTCCTTGTTTCTTGCAGTTAACTTTCAAATTTGGGGCCTTCATGGACATATCCTTTGCATGAGGCAGTTATTTTTAGTGGTGGAACAGAGTGAGTTGTAGTCCCTGTTTGCTAGTAAAGGAGAAGAAGTTGCTTCTCAGGCAGCAGCCATCTTTTAGGGCCTGCTGGAACCAAGATATTGCTTCCCTTGTCACTGGTCCTAGAGTGGGAAATGGAAACTGAAAGAGGAAAGGGGTGATGGCACAGAAAGGAAAAAGGAACATCACGTTAGGATGCTACTGTTTGAATTATTTTTGTGAGTTATTTTTGATATTTAATTATCTTCTAGTGGCTTGAAAGGCCTCCCTAGATTCCCAGAGTTAAAAAAAAAAAACCTCAGGTAACCAAAAAAATCTGAAATTCTATAAAAGCTTTCAGAATGTTTTGTGCAGTGCAATCCTAATTGTTTTTTATAAATTGCTAATTTTTTAAAATATTCTTTTCAAATAGAATATAGGGAAATAAATAATTCCTGTATAGTCCTACTAAAAATAGTACTTTATTCGTTAATTCAGATAACGTTTTTGTGCCCTCTGTGTCCTGGGTACTAAGAATACAGTAAAGAACAATGAGATCATTGTGATTCTTACCCACAGAGAGTCTTAATCTGGTTTACTGGGTTTTGTTTTGCTTTTTTGTTGGTTGGTTTAGAGTTTACAGAGTACTCCATGTTATCCATGATTGCAGTATCCCTACAGCTCAGTAAGGTTTCCCCAGACTGGAAAATCCCTAGTCAGCAGAGAGAAACCTGGGCCTATTTAGGAGCGAGAGACACTGTCAACAGTTCATGCTCAGAAGACACTCTGCCCCCAGGGGCTGTGGTGGAGAACCATTTGCCAGAGAAGTCATCTGCCACATCAGTCACAGCTGACTTTGGGGACTGCGGGGCAAGAGTTGGAACACGATGGTAGAAAAATGGCATTTAGTTTTGGAATTTGTGAGCAAGTATTTTCTGTGTCGGTGGCTCTTGCTCAGCCCGTACACTAAGTGGTATCAGAGACAGCTGGCTATAGAGATAATAGCACCTATAACTAGGTATGTCTTCTGGCTGTCAAATTGTTTCCTACATCACATCATTTAATTCTATATCTTTTGTATTGTCTACTACTCCCTCAAATAGTTAAACTTCATTTGCTTCCTGTGCCTGCATTGCACTCCATGTAAACTCTAAGCTACACCTTTCTTTACAGAGGCCTGGGATGGTACCATGCCAGGTCCTTATGGTGAAAATAGAATTGATGATTTTAGCCATTTAATTTCTGAAAAACAGGATCGTGTGGGTGGACGAGTTGCTACCTTTCGCAAAGGAAACTACGTAGCTGATCTTGGAGCCATGGTAGTAACAGGTCTTGGTAAGTAATTCTTAGTTTTGTACTGTAATACAAGATCTGAGACTCAAAAGATTGTTAAAGCTTGTATTTTAAAGCCATAGATGCAATTTTAAAATATATTGATTTAGGATACTATTATTAGTGTTAGTGAGAGGTAAATTGACCAAGTAGTCTTCCTAAAAAGATACATCAGTGTGTATAAAATCTAAATTGTACGTACATTTTGACCTAGCAGATTTAGTTCTAGGAAATTATACAAGTAAATAGATAAGTGGACTATGTTGTGTTTGGAATATTTTTTACCGTGGCATAGCAGAACATTAGAAACCACAGATTGGAAGATCAAGTTATTATACAATGAGAACTAACAGCCACTAAAAATTAAGCTCTGTAATAACATAAAGTGATGTCCACAATTTATTACTAAGTTGAAAAAAGATTATAAAACAAAATATATGTTATCCTTTTGCGTGTGTATGTCTGTAATTTTATGCACATGAAGTCTAGAAACGTTTGTAATAAAATGTTAACTTTGTGGGATTATAGGCAATTTGCTTTCTTCTTTATGCTTATTTTACATTTATTTTACTTTGGGCATTTTTTTGATTTATAATTCACATACTTTAAGCTTTGAGTAATTTAAATTTTGAGGAAAAATGTTTTTGCTTTAGAGTTTTTGTCATCTTATCATAGGTGTGTTGAATTTAATGGTTTGAGTTTTTTCTAGGAGGGAATCCCATGGCTGTGGTCAGCAAACAAGTAAATATGGAACTGGCCAAGATCAAGCAGAAATGCCCACTTTATGAAGCAAATGGACAAGCTGTAAGTGGAGGACTGGCAGAACTTTTCGAAATTTCTTTGGTTCAGTTGAAAACAATTTTGGGGAAATGTGTGGATGAGTATGCAGTCATATAAAAATGAACTGGGTGGAAATGGATGTGATGTTCTTCTGATTGTTCCTTAATTCTGAGCTATGTAGGAAGGAATTATTATTGCGTATATGCAAATCACATGCCTGTTTAGGCATTTATCATTAGACATTTAATGAAGGCTAGCTAGACAGTTAATCTTTTTACTTGGCTGTGGCCACCTACTCCAAGAGACCTGTGGAATTAACACCTAATTCTTCATTTCTCTGTATTGTGCCTCTCATCATGTGCTTTAGCTCCATGTGCTCTTTATGATTTCAGGTTTGTGTTTGTAGGCTCAAGTTTTTGATGGGCTAATAGCCAAATGCTGGTACTTACCCACATGCTAAGGGAGGTTAAAGTAGTTGTTGACCAGAGGCTAGGAGCTTTATGTACTTAGTCTGGCAGTGGCATGGAAGTGGCGTTCAGATGAGAGTAGTTTAACGACCGTGTGATAGGCTTAGACTATGTAAGTCAGTCCTGATTTTTAAGAGTGAGTGAAATTCACAAGTTTGTATTCAGTAGGAGTTTTACCAACTTCCCTGTCAGGATTGAGAGAGTCCACAAGTCTCAGGATATAAGCACATTATCATCTTTATATTTTGAGGAAGAGAAGATTTGCTATGTTTATGGCAGTTTAGCTATTGTTACTAAAAATGGTAAGATCTCGACTCTTGAATTTTGTGTGGTAGGTCCCAGGGGATATCCTCACCAATTTCTGTCTTCCTTTGGGCTTTATAGGGTTCGTATCAGAGAAAGATAGACTTTCAGGGAATGCTTTGGTTCCCATCCCCTCCATTCTTGATCCAGATTTCCTGCCAGGGCTCTTTTTGGAGCGAGGTTGGCCTTCTGGCAGAACAAACAAAATGGAAGAAGAGAGAGAAAAAGGACGAAGTAGAGATTAACTCAGCAATTCAATAAACTTGCATTCTGTTACTCTGCAAAGATCTGCCAAGGATACAGAGGTGAATAAGATAGTTCCTGTCATATAAGACCCCACAGTCTAGTGGGACTTGTACACAAATAATTATTTTTTCCCAACTTTTTATTATGGAATTTTTCAAACATATACAAAAGTAGAAAGAGTGTGATTATGGACTCTCACGTTTTTCGGAACTTGTTTCATCTATCTAGTCCTTTTTTTTTTTTTTTGTCTGGAGTGTTTTAAAGCAAATCAAAGTCAAGTCAACAAGTATTCATTGAACATTTGCCAAAATCTAGGCACTGTTCTAAGCTCTGAAGATATATTTTCTGCCCTTAAGGGGCTTAAATCCTAGTGACTCCAAGAACCTAAAAGCATCAAGAACAATAGGTGTCATTAAAATTTGTGTTTAAAAAAAAAAACAGCCACAAACATATTACTCACACATATACCAGTAACACAAAGTCAAGGCAGATTTGCCAAGGGTTAGATAGAAGAATAAATTACTATGGAAGAGCCAAGGGGGAGAGAAAGAGTATCTCTGGAGGTGGGAGGACAGACTTGGAGGGAAGGAGCACATTTATGAAGGTGGCTCAGGACTTCAACACGTGGTTGTGGAGGGAAGGGCATTAGAGGCAGAAGAAGGTTTGAGTCTAAGGAAGGTCTCTGAAGGAGGAGAGGATTATACTGGTGAGGGTGAGATGATACACAGCTGAAGTTGAGAGTGGAGGATGTTGCTGCTAGGCTGACTTATAGGTTGGAACTTTAGAGGGTCAAGAGCAGGGGAAGTGGCATGACCAGATGGGTATTTAGGTAGATAGGCAGTAATGTAGAGAATTGAATTGAGGAGGCAAGCCTCTGAAGTGAATATTACTTTAGTCCTCAAGAAGTAATGGAGTCCAAGGCAAAGATTATCATTGATCATTGAGACGCAGTCTTTTTCTTTAGATTTTCCTAAATGTAGAGCAGATTCATTTAGTCTAACAGTAAAAAGAGAGTTTTCTTTGTAGTAAAGATATCCAGAGAAATTGCTTTCTTGGTATTAGATGGACTTTAACACATTTTTTGAAAAACATTTGTTTCCACATAGTATACCAGTATTCCCCTCAAGGGTGGCCTGCAACCTGTGAACTAACTTGGTTACCAGTATGTGATGAGATAAATAGCTTGCACAGGAATGTAAATAAACGACATCATTAACCACACTCTTAGTTCAGATGATGACTTTTTTTGTGTGGTTTGTTGGTAGCAAGACTTTCTTAATGAAGGAAGTGGTGTGTTCCTTTGTGTTGTGGCACACGCTCTTGATCTCACCAGGACCAGCCCTTTGAGTAGCAGTGTAGTAAGAAGCTGTTACATTGGTATGTGGTTTTCAGCATTTTGTATGCAGGGATGTTTTTCCAAGTGAAATTTGTAGTTGTCATTCAAATCTGATCTTTATAGGGTTTTTCTGAGTTGATTTGTTTGTATTTGGTGCAATAGCCAAGTAGTAAGGAGGGTTCTTTAAGCTTTCTCAGATTTGGGGAAAAATTCTTTTTGCAGCTTAGAGTTCCACTTGCTGTAAATTAATCAAACACAAGAAGGCCTGCTAATGTTTCTGTATCTTGCTGTTCCCAGTAGTCCAGCTCAGAGTAGGAATAGACAGCTGTTGATCAGTAGACTGGCTTGTGGCTTACAGGACAAGTGCTAAGAGCCTATAACCCCATTGGTTTATGCTTATAATTACAAAATACGTTTCCTGGCTTTAGACATCTGGGGAGTGAGTAGGGCAGTTGCTCATTCCCTCATTTTGCAGAGGAAGAATCTAAAGCTCAGACATGTGTTTGTCTAAGGTGATTATAGTCAGTAAGTTGTAGAGCCAGGACCCGTTGCCTAGCGTTCCAGCTCAAATTCCCATACCTGTTCTGTTATGCCTGGCTGATATTTCAGGGAGGGTAGAGGTAAGGGGAAGTGTCAGCAACGTGACTACCTGTGTGACTGCCTCAGCTGAGTCTCCTCCTCAAAGAGCTTTCTTTTAATAAGTTACTCTAAGGAGGCAGCGAGGCCCACCTAGAGTGGACATTCACTCAGCCATCGATTTTTCTCTAGTAAACTGTCGAATGAATGAGATTGTGTTCCTCCATTCTTTGTGGACAGCCTCAGGGGAAAAGAGGGTGATTTGATGGTTCTGTTGTTAGTACACAGAAACTAATTCTCTCATCCTATACAAGGCCAGCAGTTAACTCAGAGTTGCAAATATCCCTTGTAACATTGTCTTAAGGACATATCGCCATACCCAGCCATTTTGCTGCTACAAGAAGAAACCACATAGGAAGTGGTTCTTGTTCTGTTCCCTTGTTCTTGTCTTAATCATCATCACAAGAATCCCTGGAAGAGCTTGCTTCTCTGTGCTCTCCGGTCCTACATGGGCAGCTAGAACGCTCAGGGGAGCTTATTGTATGGCTCTGGATAACTAGAACAAGGGCTGCCCTGTTTGGTTCTGATTCAAGAGGTCCCTGTCAATAGAAGTGTCTTCCACGCCTGTAGAAACAGTCAGCGCTAATATAGCAGCTGCCCTCAGACTGACTGGTGATGGAGCTCTGCCTGAACTGTGCTGTAATCAGCTTTAACTGGACTTGGAGAAGGTTGGGAAATAGAGGACTTCATGTGTCAGGAACATTTGGGGGAGGCACCAGTGAGGGGACTGAAAACATGGCTTGGTGGGGGACACAGGGGAAATGACTGAATGTTTCTGCATCTCCTGTACACCAGCTAGTAACTCGGGGCCTTTAGAGTCTAGCCTTGTCCTTGGCTTCTTTTGAGTAATGAAAAGGGATGTTAATCAGATTCCCGCAGTGCTGGAGCGTTCTGCTTTACAGGGTCCCTTGTCTTTTGAGAGAGAGAGAGTTTGTTGTTACCAAGTAAGATCCAAAGACTCAGTAAGTACATGGAGAAACAGATTTTAATTTTCTTCTTGAGAATGGCTCAGCAGTTATGAGGAAGAAAGAGAACACCTGAAAGGTAGCGGATGTGCCAGTTCGCTTACGAAGACCGTTAACTGGATATACTTAGTGCCCATCGTAACTGAGCAAGTTCCCACTTGTGTTCATAGAGAGGTGCTTAGGTTACTATACTTTGATATAGGCCTGTTGGCCTTTTCAGTTTTTATCTTCCTTTGCAGAAACGTCTTTGGTATTTTTAAGGCAGTCTTTCTCTACCCTTTAAAATCATGGCTTTTTATAAATGTCATGCTTTTTATAAATGTAAAAATCTCATGCTTTCCTTTAATTTCCCTGAAGTTGCAAAATAGTTATTTTCCCCTCAAGTATAGTTATAATACTGACTTTGCTTTTCCAAATTATATTAATTTATCCATTTAACGAGAATTTACTGAGTGCCTCTACTGTGTGCTAGAACGTGCTAGAGTAAACTCCTTAGACGTGTGTGTGCCTTCTCCACACAGCTTAGTCGCTGCATTAAAGAAGTCAGTTATTCACATCCCCTGAAAGATTCCTTCCGAGGTAGAAGAGGGTGAGGAAGGCAGCAGTCTCCATTTATAGAACCACCTTGAATTTTATTTGGATTGAGGATATGCCTGTTGTCTTTATTCTCCCTCTGCGGATAATAGCTGTATCTCATTCCCCTGAGCTCCTTAGGAATCTGAATTAGAGACTCTTCAGATCTAAATTTCTGCTTCTAGGTTTTACCAAAGGAATTAATCTTAATCTTTTGTTTTATCACAATTCTAGAAGTACATGGGGAGGGGAGAGATGGAGATTGACTGTAGCCTGTGTTTGCCAGGTTTGGCCATTACAGCTTTTTTTTAACTTATTATTCTTCCTGAGGATTTCTGTGGCTAAATCTCAGAACTTTATGTACCCAGAACCTAGCATCACTTAACTCCATTCTGCTCTGCTGCTAGAGAACTTATGGAGACTGGAAGTAAGATAGGTGGATAGTGTTTTTGAAGACCTAAAGAGCTTATGATGATGGAGTGCAGCCAGAGGTAGAACTAAGGAGAGCTGTCCTTACTCCTTTGAGATGACTTCTTGCAGGATCAAGCACCTTGTCCAGAAAGTTGGTCGGCTTTCCCTCAATTTATTCTGCATAGGCTAGACCCACAAGCTGCCCCTCCCCAGCCATGTTCAGGGATGTTCCATATAATCTACAAGACCGAAATAATCAGGATTATACCCATTTAGAGTAGTAAGAGTCACCAAATTGTTAGTCTTAGAGGAAGTGTTTATTTGGAACATTTCATAGAGAAATAAATGGTTTTGGAAAGTCTTGAAATCTTTCAAGTGATGTCGTTTTTGTTTGAGCCTTTGCTAGAAAACTGTATCAAAGGTCCTTTCCCAAAAAACTGCTTCTTAGTTTGCTGTTATGTGTTCTTGCTCTATTGTAACGTAGAAATCCAGTTGCCATCAAACATGGTGCTTAACCCTTTGTGATCATTTGCTGAGTTCCTTTCTCAGGATGCAATTTAAGAACCTAGAGTAGAATGGTCAGGTAAAACTAAAATGATTGCTTCTTGTGTTTAGAGATTGCCAGCATTTCACCTCCTTTCCGTAATTAATTGTGGAACTAACAGAATCCAAGCATTCTCACCAAGGGCAAAGAAATGACTTGAAACAGGTATTTAGGGGTTACTTAGGGTAGTCAGTTGCTAAAGTTCTTTTCATTGTCTAAGTATGTCAAATAGAACATATTTAACTACCTTAATTAGAGAGACAGATTCAAGATTTAAATATATTAAAAAAACATTTTCTTTTTCTCCCAGTCAGTGTTTGTTTCCTAATGGAAAGTAATTTATTTACTATTTTCCAAATACTCCTTTGTTTTCAAAGTGGAATTTGAAAGTTAATGGGAAAAAATCCAGGTTTCAAAGCCATCCCTGGTCTCACTCTGAACATTCCTGTAATTGCTGAACGAGGCAGAAAAGAGGTGGGGCCTGACTGCTGGCTGTTTCTCGTGGTCTCGTAAGTGGAGCCTCGAGTTAGAATGGTGTACCGGAGATGCAGTCCGTGTCATCCTGGTGTCAGTCACACGTGCAGTAGTCGTTTGGTTTGGGGTTTGTTTGTTGTTTTCCTTGTTACTGTTCTCTGTATTTCCTTTTCTCTTTTGTTAAACGTTTTGCTTTCTCACTGCTTTCTGACACCATCTCCCTTTACCACCACCACCACCCCCAAACTGCCTTTCTTTTGCCCATTTCTCTGCCTTGACTTTCCCGTTTTGGTCTCTGTACAGTTTGTTCCTTATTTCTCTGGTGGTTGCAGCTTCTGAGCTAACAGAATGCTTCTGTCATGCTGTGTGTTTAAAGCCTTAATTTAACTGCTGTCGTACAAAACTAAACTTGACGTGGCTGTTGGGCTGTTATTTACAGTTTATTTCTCTCTCTGCTGCACTGGTTAAAAGGACACTGTCAAGGTATTTTTTTTTTCATAATTTTTCAAATCATTTTCCTCACTGTTTATAACAACCCATTGAAAGCTTGAAACTTAAATCTTTCCCTTTCAAAGTTCCTCTCCATCATACATTCACACTGGTTTGTTGTTGTAGAGTTGCACCTGTATGTTGGGCTGGTGCCATTTGAGTTTTTGTCATTGAAAGCGCATGTAAAACGTCAGGTTTTTTGGGGGTGGTGGTGTGGGTGGACTCAAGGGGAAAGTGTAATGAATCAAGTGGGCTGCTTAGCAAATGGAAGAAACAAAAGGTCAAATTTGGTTCCTCTAACCTTGACAGTGTCCCTTTAAATACTTCTCTACCACACACCCTGGACCCCAGTTGCTGAGCCTGAGTGCTGCGTACTTTTTTAGTATGAACTTCCCTATGTGACTGTCACCCTAGCTGCAAAGATTAAAACTTGTCTGGAGCAAGCCATTCACTTGACACTGGACGAGCTTTAATCTGTACCATTTGCACACTTGTGTATTGGCACATTCTGCCCTATTGTAGAGGCACACGTGATCTGGTCCCTCCTGCTGGTATAGCGTCCTCTTGCTGGGCGTTTTAGAAGCCATGCATGGAAATACCACCATGTACTCTAGGAAAAGCAGTCATGCACATTGCATCTTTGATCAGTTAAGATCTCATAACTATGTAGATTTCATGTTGAAAATGTAATTGTTTCCTTTTTTTAAAGGAACACCAAATTTAGAGTTTCTGGAACCATCTTTTATAACATCATTGCAGAAATTACACCGAGCAGAATTTCAGCATTGCTTTGAGCTGCTCTGTATGTGACCATCACATCAGTGAGGGAAAACAACCGATGAGAAAGTAAAGGAAATTGCTGACAAGAGAGTCTCTTCCATCAGCTCTGAGAGCTGGGTAATCAGAACAAGTAGGGAGGTCACCAGGTGCTCCGTTCTTTGGCCGTGGAGTTGAACGGGTAGATCAGATGTGTTTGATCCACGAAGTCCTAGGTACCACCCTGATGTATAAATGACACCAGGGATCCAAAGCCTGACTCTCTGCCTTATTTCTCAACGTGAACCAGAAGATTCTCAGGGATTTATATTTCTTAGACTAAGGAAGATTCTCTAATTCATAAAGATTTCCTGATCTCTCCCATGTGTGGTCTTTTGGAACTTGATGCTTTAAAATCTGATTTTGATTGAATCAGTTCCGGTGTCTATCATATTTCTAGTTCCAAAGGAGAGTTGCAGTCCTTTTCCCTCCCTTTTTTTGGGGCACTTTGTACTTCTTGGCATATTCTTTTTGCCACAGCACAGCTCACCTCGTAGAGTCACTTGTGTGATACATCAGTGAAGGGGCAGAGGCTAAGGCTTCAAAATTGTCCATTTTATTGGGAAGGGCAAACACTAAGGCATTTCAAATGAGAGGGAGAGTCTTACTGTGCTGATCCTGTCCGCAGTCAGTTAACTCTGATTGTAAAGGATCACTCCTCCTTGGCCTTAGTGTTTATTAGAACTTACTTTAATGTTTTGTTTTCTTGTTACTAATTTTAGGTTGGCTGTAAAGTGAAATTCCATTATTTTGAATCCTATTTCCCAGCTGATGCTCGGTTTATTATGGCAAGAGATGCTTGCCTTAGACCTGCTTTTCCCTTCTCTCTGTTGCTGCCGTGACTTCAGTGATAGAATTGCAGATACGGTTCACTTTGGGGCTGAATTAAACAGTAGCAGGGGGATTTGTGTCGACTGATGAATGGTACCAGTGGGCAGGGACGCAGCCGGGATTCAGAGTGTGATCTTGCAGTGTGATGGTCTGCTGTGCAGTCTTCTCTGCCTCCACAAGTGTGAGCCAGTCCTGGGACCTGTCATTCAGAGTCTAAGAGCTTTGGACATTCAGCTCTGAAGTTAATTGGTGCCATAAAACACTACTAATCTGCAAAAGAACTAAGGTGCCATTGTGTTCTATTTAATAGCCATGAATTTCACTTCTCTCTTCCCTACTCCCACCTGAAGTTCTGTCATCTTTGAGGGGAAGCAGATAGCTTGGGCTTCTTGTTTTTCCCTCCTGCCTTTATTCTGGGAGGTCCTCAGGTGTGTTGACATAGTTTTTGTTCTCTGGGACTTTTCCGGTGTGTTGCTTGCATGTCAGCCCAGCTTATCTCAGTGCATGTCAGCTCCAGGGCACCTGTGCTCCACATAATTTCAGTTAGCACCAGTGTGAGTCCTGTGGCTGTTAATAGAGGCGGAGTCCCAGCTGTGAGAGGAAAACTGGGAGAATAGGAAGGTATCATGGCCAAAACATTTCATATCTCATTTAATGGAATTGACCACTTCATGGAAAACAGAGTTTGAATCATTGTCCTCAAAGGTTTCAAACCCCCTTTGAGATTTTGACCTTTTAAACTGTAGAGCATTTGTGTTTTCATGGATGGTTATGTTTAGTGTTATAAGGACCAATTCTGCTACACTTCGGATTTTCAGGTTCCTAAAGAGAAAGATGAAATGGTAGAGCAAGAGTTTAACCGGCTGCTAGAAGCTACATCTTACCTTAGCCATCAACTAGACTTCAATGTCCTCAATAATAAGCCTGTGTCCCTTGGCCAGGCATTAGAAGTCGTCATTCAGTAAGTACTTTGATACTGCTTATTATATAGTGAATTCCACGTACAGATTTGCTGTTTGTGTTTTAAGTTTTTCAGCACGTATTACTTGAGCTCATTTTTATGTGAAATAATTAAATGCAAAGTAAGACCAAGGGCCAGCCCCATGGCATAGTGGTTAAGTTCCTGCACTCTGCTTTGGCAGCCAAGGGTTCGCCAGTTTGGGTCCTGGGTGTGGACCTACACACCACTCATCAAGGCATGCTGTGGTGGCCTTCCACATAGAAGAACTAGAAGGATTCACAACTAGGATGTACAACTAGGTACTGGGGCTTTGGGGAGAAGAAGAAAAAGAGGAAGATTGGCAACAGATGTTAGCTCAGGGCCAATCTTCCTCACCAAAAAGAGGAGAAAACTACAGGAAAAAAAGAAGAGGAAATTTCAGTGGGCCTGGATGCCCTTGAATGTTTTTGGTGGTCACCTGTCTTGTGCTGCAAAGCTGGCTCTGTGGCCAGGGCACACGTATTGTCTCTCTTAGGTTACAAGAAAAGCACGTCAAAGATGAGCAGATTGAACATTGGAAGAAGATAGTGAAAACTCAGGAGGAATTGAAAGAACTTCTTAATAAGGTGAAAGTCTGTATTTTCTTCAGAGCTGAAAATGCATCATTGGAGGAAAAAAGGCCTTTAATTTAGAAATCTTAGAAGCATTTCTGGTTTTTTCCCTCCACGGGAGAGACGGTCTGCGCATCTGGGACTCTTTATTCTTAAGAAAATAACGACTAGCAAAAGGCACTGTTTTATCTGTCAGTCTTGGGTGTGGCATTATTAGTAAACTGTTGCCAGAGGAAGCACATCTTTCCTGTGTCAGCTTCCCTTTGGCCGTTGCAAAGCTGGCCCAGTGTCCTCTGGTGATGAGAGGATGAGAAGGAGATCAGCTGTGCTGGGGTCGAGTTCCCACTGATGAGACAGCAGGTCAGCAGGCAGGACCGTAATCCATTACCATAGTTATTTCACTTGAAGTGTCAATATGGGGACATTCCCCAGTGGTATGTCTGTTGAAGACCCCTTCCAGAGCCTTGGCTCTAGACTGGGAAACCATCTATTTCTCCTCCTCCTGCCAGCTGCAAACATAACACCAGTTTAAGGAGAACACATGAAGTGGGACAGCCTCTCCCTGCCTCCCCGTGGAGGGCTTTATAATGCAAAATCTGGGTGTGTCTTGTGACTGGACTCTTGCCTCATTCTCTCACTGGGCCTCATTTCTTCATCCTATCAAATGAAGAGGTCTCTGGAGCACCTTCTTCATGGATGGTGGTTCAGATGAAATGAGAGGAGTGGCTGGGTAACAGCGAACTGCCAGGATAGCGCCCTGCCATAGACAGGGCCCCCAGTCTCAAGCTTTAACCGTCACCCTCGTCCTGTGTAGTACTATCAGAAACCTGAGAAAACTAACATGAGGAATGGTTCCTTAAGGTTCTTCGTGGGATGATTTGACCTTTATGTATTAAAAGCAAATCAGGACAGTTTGTTTCCTAAAACGATAAGTTTAAGTTAAATTGGTGGTAGTTTGTTTTTCCTAGAAATTAACTTCAATTTATATGTTTTTTTATTAATGGGACACTTGTAGTTCTCTCACATTTTAAAAGACAGAGCTAATCTTATTTATCTGATAGTGACGTGGTACCTCCTTGTTGAGCCATGTAGGATTTCTTTCTGTAGTAAAATGTCACGCTGTAGAACTGGTATTTAAGAATTCCAAGGACCTTGCGTTGTAAACTTGTTTTGGTGTAATAGCGGTTTAGAGGAGGAGCCAAAGCTCATGATTTAGAGATGAATTACCTCACTACCTGGAATGGTGAGTGTGTATTTTTCCCTCTTAGATGGTAAATTTGAAAGAGAAAATCAAAGAACTCCATCAGCAATACAAAGAAGCGTCTGAAGTCAAGCCACCCAGAGACATCACTGCTGAGTTCTTGGTGAAAAGCAAACACAGAGATCTGACCGCTCTCTGCAAGGTGCAGTATACAGACATGCCCAGTTGGTTTAACTTGGAATCCTAAGAAATAGTATAGATCTGGGAAACTTTGAAAAGAGAGAGCCCTGGAGTGGGAAGAAGAGAGTTTGGTACACAGGAGCCATGGGGCCTTAATGGGTTAGTTTGGTTTGAGATCTGCTTTTTCTGCACAATTCTTACCTTGTTTTCACAACCTCATCCTTCAGCTTACTTACATCTCCGTTTAGTCCTCTGTCATAGTCTATCACTGACAGTTTTAGAATAATGATAATGAACAGAGACTTCAGAGTCATTTGGAGTCAGACTGGCTGATTGAAGTCCCTAACTTAGTATCTCCTAGTCATGTGACTTTGGACTCCTTAATCACCTCCTCGGTGACATGGTGTTAATACTGCGTCACCTGTAGGCATCCACAGTGCCTACCCCATGCTAGGGACGCGGTGAGTGCACAGGAGGTGGTCGTTGCTGTTCTTTTTCACCCTTACTTCGTAGCACACTAGCACAAGTCTCCCTTTCTTGCCTCCTGCGTGCCCCTCACCGCCATCTTAATTCCAGGCTCACGCTGTAGCTTGTCTCCAAGAACAGCTGTCCCTGCGCTCTGACTCACTTTTAAGTTGGGGCACACTTACAGATATAACCTAGACAGGGATGTGGTCTAGGCCTTAGACTTTGTGGTATAGGTAACGAGGTGGCTCTCTGACCCATTAAGATGAACCCAGTTCTCTTTATTTTATCAGGAATATGATGAATTAGCTGAAACACAAGGAAAGCTAGAAGAAAAACTTCAAGAATTGGAAGCCAATCCCCCAAGGTGAGGAACACGCGCCATCAAAGAGAGAGAGTTTTTGCTGTTCTTTCTGTTACATTTAGAAAGAAATTATAAAGTACTGCGGGCTTTTATTTATGTTCAGTGAATGGATTGTAAATTGCATAATGAATAGAAGATAGCGTGCACATAAGACTGCTTGTCGGGTTCCTAAATCCCCTACTTTTATATTGTAATGTGTGAGGGTATCTTTTATATTTAATGTTTTTGAAAAGATACCCTTTCTCCGTAAGATCTGATATTTGAATGAAAATGTTGTCAATGGAAATTGTCTTCGCGTGGTATAGAATGTGCTGTTGCTTTAAATTCTCGTAATTCTGGGGACCAGGAAAGTATTATACTTTATAGCCATTAGATTTTTGATAGTGAATACTTTACGTGCTGAGACTGCGCCCATGTTGCATCTGGCCTCCACATGTATATACTCTGTTCTCTAGTCAGGGATGCTACCCATTCTTGCTTTTTAAAAATATAGTACAAAATGGTTTACAACGAATACGCTTTTATGATGCAAAGTAACAGTATGAAGAAGTCGTCCCCCCAGCCGACAAATGGAGCCTGATTGTAATTTGATTTATGTAGTGAGCTTGGCACTCCTCTAGGCACCAGGAATAAAGGGCTTAATAAGACAGGTAAGGTCTTCCTGTTGGACTCAGAATTTCTTCACATAAGGCACAGTCCTAGGTATAGGTTCCCACAGTTAACTGAGATCATCCACAGCAGCCCATTGAGAACGATGGTAACGTCCTTGAATGACCTTGTGCCCCTTTGTTCTCATTTTGCAGTGATGTATACCTGTCGTCAAGAGACAGACAAATACTTGATTGGCATTTTGCGAATCTTGAATTTGCTAATGCTACACCTCTTTCTACGCTCTCCCTTAAACATTGGGATCAGGTAAAACTCCTGGATCATTTATTTTGTTGCAAGTGTCTTTGAAAGGGCTATTTAGAGAATCTGTTAATTTGTTCAATATGTGTTTTTAAGCAACTTTATTAAGAGAAATAATTTACATACAGTAAAACTTACCTATTTTAAGTAAACAGTTTGATGTTTTACCAAACTCCTGTAGTCATGAACCACCACCACAATCAAGATACAGAACAATTCTGTCGTCCTGGAAAGTTCTTTCCTGCCTTTTTGCAGCCCTCCTGCTCCTGGCCCTAGACAACCACTGCTTTGCTTTCTGTCACTATAGGTTTGCTTTTTCTAGAATTACATATAAATTGAACCATACAATATATAATCAGACAGTATATAGCCTTTTGTGTGTGACTTCTTTCACTTAGCAGAAGTTTTTGAGATTCGTTGTTGCGTATATCGGTAGTTTGTTCCTTTTCATTGTTTAGTGGTATTTCACTGTATGGATATGCCACAGCGTGTTTATCTGTTCACTGCTACATTGATGGACACTTGGGTTGTTTCCATTTTTTGGCTATCAGTGAAGCTGCTTTGAACCTTCATGTCTTTCTCTTGGGTAAATATCTAGGAGTGAAATTGCTAGGTCTTATGGGAAGTATATTTTTAACTTTCTTAGAAACTTCTAAACTGTTTTCTAGATTGCATTCCCATCAACAATGTATAAAAGTTATGCTTCCTACACATCCTCACCAATGCTTTGGTATTGCCAGTTTTTAAAATGTTAGGCATTCTAATGGGTATATAGTAGTATTCCATTGGGGTTTTAATTTTCGTTTCCCTGATGACTGGTGACGTGAAGCATCTTTTCGTATGCTTATTGGCCATTCTTATGTCAATTCTTTGGTGCAAAGTCTGTTCAGATCTTTTGCCCATTGAAAAAATTTGGTTGTCTGTCTTCTCACTGAATTCATTCATTCATAAGAGTTCTTTAAATTCTGGGTACAATTCCTTTGTCGGGTTTATGGTTTGCAAATATTTTCTTCCGATTTACAGCTTACCTTTTCAAAAGTTTTTAATTTTATGAAGTTCTCTTTATCAACTTTTCCTTTTAGGCTTTGTGCTTTTTATATCCCAGAAATCTTTGTCTAATTTCGAGGTTGCAAAGATTTTTCTCCTTTTTTCTTTCTGAAGTTTTATGGTCTTATCTCTTATGTTAGGTCTGTGATCCATTTTGAGTTCTTTTTTGTGTATAGTGAAAGGTGAGAGTAGGGTTCATATTTTTCCAGGTGATTAATTAATTATTCTAGCACCATCCTTTTGCTTCATGTCTTGGCACGTTTGCTGAAAATCAGTTGCCATGTGTGAGTCTATTTGTGGCAGTGCTTTCTGTCCATTTATCTGTCTGTCCGTGTGCCACTATCACACTGTTGTGATTGCTGTTGCTTTATTACGTCTTAAAATCAGGTAGTGTAAGTTGTCCAACTTTGTTCTTTTTTTGAAATTGTTTTGGCTATTTTATGTCTTCTTTATTTCTATAAAAAATTTAGAATCAGCTTATCAGTGTCTACAAAAAATACCCCTGGGATTTTAATTGGGATTGCATTGAATCTGCAGATCAATTTAGAGTGATTGTCATCTTAATATTGAATCTTCTAATCCTTGAACATAGTTTATCTCTCCATTTATTTAAGTTTACTTTATTTCAGCAATATTTTATAGTTCTCAATGTGCAGGTCTTACACATCTTTTCTTAAATTATTCTTAAATACTTTAAATGTGATTTTACTCTTGAACTCGTGAGAAATCACAGGGCTTGTTGCATATTGAATGGACCAATCTCTGAATCTGAGACTTTGGCCAGACTTAAAATGGTATACAAGTACATATTAAATTTTTACTTAACATATACGTATTTTCATTTTCATTATACATTTTCCTAGTAAAATTATTTTGACTTCTAATCTTTAGATTATACCCTCGTATTCTTTAGTATTTGAATTATAGTGAGGATTGGACTTCTTAGTGGTAAAAATTTTGCAGAATTCCTGTGATTTTTCATGTAAATGCTAAATTTGGCCCTTCCGAGTCACTGATTTATCCTTTGAAGTTTTAGGATGTATCCATTTGCAGTCATTTTAAGTTTTGAATGTAGGTGACTTGACCTGATCCCCTTGGGGAACAAGTGGGTCAGTCACTAAGTAATGAGAGTTTTGCTGCCAGCCTAGTATTTTTATCAAATTCCTAAGAATTGTGGTATTTTTTCCTCAGAAATTTCATGAAATTAGAAATACTGAATAGCCTTCAAAAGTTTCTCTATACAGAACATTTTTCAGTAAGTTCAAAGAAATATGATCATTTTGGGAATTCGTTCCAGCCAAATCTTGACTTTACTATATGGAGTATCTTGGGCCAGTCTTTATAATCCTAGATTGCTTCATCTATTTGACCTACTTTAATTTTGGAAGTCTTCCTCAACTTTAAAATCTGTGAGTTTAAGAAATAAAAACTGACTTTGCTCTTCGGTAATAGAAAATGTAATTAGGATGATGAATCAGATATCCCCCAAATCGGTAATACATCCAAAAGCCAAACAGACAAACTCTTATATCCAATCATGTGAATTGACTGAATCAGCTTCCTTCCGTCTCCCACCCCACATGGATAGTCTAGACTTGGTAGTGTAAGACTGTGATGACAAAAACTCTATCTAGGGAAAAAGAAACTGCCTTAATCTCACTGCCCAAAGGTAGCCATTAGGGACATTTTGGCATGTTTTCTTTTCCCTTCAGTTTCCCGGGGCAGCTGTAGCTGAATACTGAGTAATTGTTCTTTAATTAATGCCTTAGAAATTGACTGTTTCCACAGGCTGGGGGCTTTCAGTGTTATGTCTTACAGAACTCAATATAAATGGCATAGATTTAAGAAAATGTGAAAATACATCCATTTCCCTCGTCTCTAGGATGATGACTTTGAGTTTACTGGCAGCCACCTTACAGTGCGGAATGGCTACTCCTGTGTGCCTGTGGCTTTAGCAGAAGGCCTAGACATTAAACTGAACACGGCAGTTCGACAGGTTCGCTACACAGCTTCAGGTATGTCACTGCTTTACTGGGAAGACGCATCTCTTATCTGAAAGTTTGACCTACAGAAAAAATATGAGGTACATTTCCTGATAGAAGGTCTTGTAAACTCTGACTCCTCAGTTAACAACTTGGCATTTACAGAGGGATTGAGGCTGGAGAGCCTTCGGAGGTTCCAACCCCATTATTGCATAAACCAGAAAATGGAGACAGGTTTTAGTTTCCAGTTTGTGCATGAGTTAGTTTGGTATTATAATAATAGCCAGTAAGTTTGGATCTAATTTTGCTCAGTATATTCTTAAATACCAGGATTTTGGTCCCTATCCAGTAGGTCCTACTTGTTACATTTCACTGTGTGCATTTTGGTCTTTGGCTCCATTCTGGCTTTTCCTGTTCAGGTGGGCTGACTGTTCAGGCTGCTTTCTAGTTCCGGGAGCAGTCCTGCTGCTAAGTGACCGCAGAGGCGCCCTGCGCTGTGCTTCCTGCGCCCTGGGCACAGTGCTGCTTATTGCTGGTTTCAGGGTGCATTTAAGGTGGAGTGAGGGAACCTGTTGTCCAGCCACTTTTGGAATTAAGATAGCCAGTCACCACCCCCTCTCTGAGGGCCCTGATGACAGTGGAGATGTGGCCACCAATCTTGCCCTCCATGACCCCTTTTCTAGAGTTGCTGAGATCGCTACAAATATGTTTTTACAAGCACTTTTTCCATTTAATTTTCTCTTCAGAGGCAGCTTCTAGCTGACGGTATTGAGATCTGCAGCCTTTAAAGAGCCAGTTACAGGCAGGTGAAGAATAGTAAGGACAGCTTTTGTGGCACTGTGCCTGGCTCTGTGGCCACAGGAAATGGATATGCGCTGAGCTCTCACAGCTTGCTTTGAGCTATATACATATATAATTTTTAATTATATAAATAGGCATTTATTGAAGGAAAAAACAAAAAACATAACATTAACCTATTTTCAGTGCCTTTTCTGTGGTCAACTTTGAGCCCATTCATATTTTGGCAAGCTGTGCATCACAGTGCGTTCTCAAGGACAGCACGCTCTATAGCTTTAGGCAGCATCCCTTACATCTGCAATATAGTCTTTTGGTATCATTCTCAGAGGACAAGCACTTTACTCTTTTTTTTTTCTTCTTCTCCCCAAAGCCCCCCAATACATAGTTTTATATTCTCCATGTAGGTCCGTCTAGTGCTATTATGCGGAACCCCGCCTCAGCGTGGCTTGATGAGCGGTACTAAATTGGCGCCCAGGATCCGAACCGGCAAAACCCTGCTCGGCCACGGGGCCGGCCCCAGGCATTTTACTCTTAATTTTGGTCTAAATTTACTTTGGTAAATGATAAGGTCCTTTTATTAGTCCGGAAGATCACCACTGTATCAGGAAGGTAGGATAGTATGGTGATGAAGATCAGGGATTCTAAAGTTGACTGTTAGGGTTTAAATCCTCAGACCTATGTGACCTTAAACAAGTTACTTCACCTCTGCCTCAGCTTTCTTCTATAAAAAATGAATAGAACCGACTTCATAGACTTGTAGTAAGAATTAACTGAGAAAGCCCGTAGATTGTACTGTGCACTCAATGTTTACTATTTCAATACCTTGTCAGTACCGTCCTTATCGCCAATAAAGTCTTTTCCCTCCACCCTCCAGGATGTGAAGTGATAGCTGTGAATACCCGCTCCACAAGCCAAACCTTTATTTATAAATGTGATGCAGTTCTCTGTACCCTTCCCTTGGGTGTGCTGAAGCAGCAGCCACCAGCTGTTCAGTTTGTGCCACCTCTTCCTGAATGGAAAACATCTGCAGTCCAAAGGATGGGGTTTGGCAACCTTAACAAGGTAACTTGGCCTGGGCACCTCTATACCCATTGTACAAATACCAGTCTTACTACTCTCCGCTCAGAGAGAATAGGGGTCTGCATTTGTGTGCATTTTGCTGTGCTCTCATCTCTGATTACAGGGTGAGGCCCGTCAGTTCATTCACTTCACTGCCTGATTATATAGCCATGAAGATTTACTCTTTGGGGTCACTTTGCAATCCCAGGCCTACAAAAAGAGAGCTCTAAATGTTGTCCTAAGTAATACATTTGTAATAGGGATTTCTAGGCTTATGTTGAGAGTCGATTAGAGAAGACTTCAGTAAGGTCTGAGGAAGAAGAACTTGTGTTGAGGCACAGCTGTTCTTAAAGCCGTCTTCCCTGGACCCTGTCACCAGCTCACACGCTCCTTTTTACAATAGGTGGTGTTGTGTTTCGACCGGGTGTTCTGGGATCCAAGTGTCAATTTGTTTGGGCATGTTGGCAGTACCACTGCCAGCAGGGGTGAGCTCTTCCTCTTCTGGAACCTCTATAAAGGTAACTGCTTTCCAGTTCTGATCTTTTTCATATGTAAGGAGTAGAGAATTAGGAATATTCTGGTTTTTCTCAAATATATGTGTCTTGATTTTTCATTAACTCAACAAACAATTTCTGAAATCCCTTCTAGGTGGTGGGAATATGGGGAAAAACCCCTGCCTTCAAGGAGCTCACAGCCTAGCTGGGGGTACGGTGAGGAGCTAGGCAGTCTCAGAACAGGGCAGTAAGTAGAGTGGCAGGGAAAGCCCAGAGCCCTGCAAAGGAGAGCAAAGGAAGACCCGGCCCAGCCGGAGGGACAGCCGCAAGCTGCCTGGGAAGTCATCGCCAGACTTGTGTATCTGACTTGCCCCTGAGTCTTTGATCACTTTCCTTAGGATGTATTTATCAAACTCCTACCTCCTGTTTTGCTTTCTTCTGTAATTGGATTGCTCTTAATTCTATATAGAGCTAAAAAAAAAAGTATGTTTAGACCCAACCTCATTCCAAGAAAAGAATGTATGACATTCTGCTGTGAGCAGTGTGAAGAGGCATGGCTTTCCCTGAGCGCATTGCTTTCCGATGACAGTGGAGTGCTCTTTCCCTTTCCCCTCCAGGCCAGCAAGTCCTGTCAGTGCCAGCCTCACTCTCTCTCAGACCTATTTCCTTCTTTTCCACTGCCCACCTCGCAGTCAAAGCCACTCTCACCTCTTACCTGCTCAGTTGCCGGTAGTCACTAACTGCTTATCCCTGCTTCTGTCTTTTGACGGCTTTCCATTATCACGGCCATTAGGAAGGCCCGCACAATCTAGCCCTTCTCTTCTACTTCAGCTTCCTCGTTGTCTGTCTCCTCCCCACCCCTTCCTGGGCTCCAGGCACACTCCTCTGCACTCCTGGAATCCTGCAGTGCACATGTCCTGTGGCCTGGGCCTCGAGAGCCTTTATGTTGATTCTCTTCCTTCCCAACGTGGCGTACTCTACCTCCAGCCTTTAGGTCTTGACCTAAATGTCACTATTTCAGAGAGGACTTCCAGGACACACATACCCCTACTGCCTCAAATCTCAATTAAGTCCCTGTATTATTTTCTCTGTATCCTGTGTTTTTCTTCACAACTTTTATCACAGTTCAAAAATATTTTTATCTGTGTGATTATCTGTTGATCTATGGAGTATACAGTCTCTAGCTTTTATATCCCTAGGATCTAGTACTGTGCGTATCACATAAGCCTGTTGCATAAATACTCACCAAATGGGTGAGTCAAGGTGGTGATGGGCTTGGAGGGGCCTGGGGTAGCTGAAAGGATGTAGCCCTTGTCATGGAGCTCTCGAAGGGGGCAGGGCTAAGAATGCTGTGCCTAAATCTAGGGATACTTCTTAGTTTTCTTTTGTTAGCGAAGTCCGAAATTCTATCTTTAGGACATCTGTGTTCTGCAGAGCTATAAGTGGTGAAATACATGAGTCACACTTCACTCACTGTAGTTTACCTAGCATGAGTGGTGCATGTCTGTCTATTGATCATCAGATTTCAGAGTGCCGAGAATAATGTGGGCCCAATAAAGAGGTTCTTGAGAAAAGTCTTTAGGAAAACCCTGGAATTGTCCTTTCTGTTTCCCTAGCTCCAATACTGTTGGCACTAGTGGCAGGAGAAGCCGCCGGCATCATGGAAAACATAAGTGATGATGTGATTGTTGGCCGATGCCTGGCCATTCTCAAAGGGATTTTTGGTAGCAGTGCAGTGCCCCAGGTAAGTAAGTGGGTGGGGGCAGACGGGGATCTGGGGTTCAGATTGACACAGGATCTGACATTTTCTCTTAAGTTGCAGCATAGCTTCTTGGTCAAGACACTTTCAGCCCAAATGAGAGGTGTGTGCTGGGTTTACATGAATGCTAATGCTTGGCGTTCATGCCCTAAGTGTGGGATTCAGAAGAGCCCCCAGTACGTGAGCTGGGGGATTGAGAAGGCTGTCGGCTGCATTTCTCGGCTTGCCTTGTCCGTTGTCTCTGCTTGTGGGATTACACCTCCATCAGCACCCCACCTTTTGGACAGTGTCCAGACTCCCTTAGGGAAGTCTGAAAGGACTCTCTTGGTACTTTTTTCTGTCCTTTAGGCCCATTGAAACACTATTAGACCTTGCAGTTCCTTGGAAAGGAGGTATATTAATGCTTCATGTGAGTTTATGAAAGAGGTTAAAGGTCAAGTCCTGGGTAGATCTCTGGATTCACAGACTGGAAGGCAGCAAGGCAGCCTCCGTGCCGTCGCAAGGCATTCCGTACTGTTGAAAAGCAGCAGCGTTCCTCACTTGGCTAAGTGATTCATCTCATGCATGTGGCCTCTTTGTCTCTCTCACTTGTAGCCCCACCCACCACAGTTTTTCCATCTTTCAGGGATGACTGGTAGTTCTTCGTGTCCAGTTAATAACTTCTGCTCATGGTTTTTCCTTCAGCCCAAGGAAACTGTGGTGTCTCGCTGGCGCGCTGATCCCTGGGCCCGGGGCTCCTATTCCTATGTAGCTGCAGGATCATCTGGAAACGACTATGATTTAATGGCTCAGCCAATCACTCCCGGCCCCTCAATCCCAGGTGCCCCGCAGGTGAGAAGCCGGCAGACTGTACTTGGGCTTGTTAGGAGAGAGGCCAGGATCTCGGTGAAAATGATGCCACTGATTGTTTGACATTTTAGTTGTTCTGTCCTTGACCCTTTTAGACAACTAAGAGCAGAGGAAAAGGGAAGAGGAATAGTATTTGTGTCTGATTTCTCACATTTTGACTTCGTAATCTAGGTAGTCTATGCTGGGAATGGAAGAGTCCAGAGTATAAACCAAGTACTTTTTCCTTATTCAGATTTTTGTCCCTAAAAAACAAAACCCAAAACATTTTTAATTGAACCCCATTTTGAAATAGCTTATAGGATTGTTGCAGGGTCCCAATTCACTAGGGGCCTCCAGAGCATGACCCTGAGAAATAACCTTGGGTCCTTATCTAGACAACGCCAGACCCTGCTTCAGAGTAGTAAGGGTCCCTTAGGACCCTGTGGTAAGGAATGCCTGCCCTGTACTGAGGCAGAGGTGTTCCTGACTAAGAACAGATGCTGTGTTCTCTATGGTTCCGTGTAGTCAGGAACCCCCTCCCCCCAGTAGGTACTGCATGAGGCAAAGGAAGCTCTAGAACTGAGTATCCCCAAGAGTTCAACCAAAAATTAAGAACAGATGCAGTTAAGCATCACCCTAGAACTAAGGCTGGGCTGGATTTTATTGTCTCACTTCTACTTCTGTCAGTTCTAGGAGATTGCATGCTCATGAGAGAGAGCCTTTTTTGGTAGAAAGACAGACAAGCAATGGGGTGGTGGGGTGGGGGGGGGCGGGGGCAGGTTAGCCTTTAAAGGCCAGCAGGAATTTGGCGGCTCAAACGCAACAAGAATAAAGGTCTGTTTGCAACCTGCTGATTTTCTTTTCATTTTTTTCCTGAACTAGCCAATTCCACGACTCTTCTTTGCTGGAGAACATACAATCCGTAACTACCCAGCTACAGTCCATGGTGCTCTGTTGAGTGGGCTGCGAGAAGCAGGAAGGATTGCAGACCAGTTCTTGGGGGCCATGTACACCCTGCCTCGCCAGGCCACACCAGGCGTCCCTGCACAGCAGTCCCCAAGCATGTGAGACAGACGCGCTCTAAGGGAGAGGCTGACATGCGTGTCTTTTGCTGCGTAAGGAAAGCTCTTCTGGCAATACTAGATTCCGCTGGGAAACTCACCTGGGTGTCTGGGCTCCCTAGCAGCTGCTGGTGCGCACGCTGCTCAGCTGGCCAAGGGGCTTGTCTGGTTTTGATGAAGGAGGGTGCCTCCTCTGAGTGACTTAGTGTCCGTTAGTGTGGAGGCCTGTGTTCTTCCTAAAGACTGAGGCGCGCAAGCGCTGTGGGAGAACGTTAGTCTCTTGGTGTAGGGTGGTTTTTTTTTTAATATTTTGAGAATAAAACTTCATATAAAACTAGTCCTATCACTTTTTTGTTTTTCCTTAGGGTTAAAGTTGTATACAAGAACAGAGTGTTATTCCTTTGGAAATACCAGTTTTATGCATGTTTAAATAAGGGGGATGTTTATATAAAGGAGAAAAATAGTTGGGTCAGGTCAGAAGATAGGGCTGCAGGGGTGGGATTCTCACAGAAGCAATGGGCCTCCTGGTCTGGGCTGGACTTGCCCACTGGGTTGTGGGGTGAGTGTGTGCCAAAGATGTGAAACTGCAGGTCAAGCACGGGGACATTAGGAAACTGAATTTTCAAGCTAAAACACAAGACTGGTTTGGGTGGGTCTCTGGCAGACCATTCTGTCTTTATTCCCTAGATTCCCTCCGTGGGTACGTGCTAACTTTCCATTTCTCTACAAAGTATTGGTATTAAAGTTTTGGGAAGTGTTAAATAAGGAAAAGATCACAGATTTAGGGAACTTAGCTGATATATTAGTTTCCTGTTGGTGCTGTAACAAATTCCTGCTGCGTGCTGAGGGAGGATTCCATTTCCTTGCCTTTCGCAGCTTCTAGTGGCTGTATTCCTGGGCTCGTGGCCCCCTCCCTTCCGAAGTATGTTACTCCAGTCTTGCTTCCAGCGTCACCTCCTCTTGTTCTGGAGTCAGGTCTGCCTACGTGTCCCTCTTAGAAGGACACTTGTGATTTCATTGCAGAGCACCCAGATCACCTCCCCATCTGAGTCCTTAATCACATCTGCACAAGTCCCTTTCGCCATGGAAAGTGGAAACATTTTTACAAGGGACTAGTACCTGTTCCTTCCCAAGGGCTCCTAACAAACACATTGTTACTATGAATGCATGGACGTCATCTGCTTCTGCAAATTGGGTTTTACTTGTGTTAGTTCTTCCCTATAGTTAGTCTAAGTGAGGTTTCATTCTGGGTAATATTTAAGGGACATGACCTTGTGGGTCTGGTTGGATGAAAATGAAAAGGGTGTTTGTTTTTCTTTTAGTCTTAGAATGAATGACGGCAGTGGGGAAAATGTGCACACCAGGCTGCGGGGCGAGTGGTGACTGATGCATGGGGAGTACACGGACTGTGGGCTGCTGCCTGTATGTGAGCCCCAGCTCTGCCGTTAACGTGATTGCCTCGGGGGGTTGGGGTGTCTGGCCAGTGGTAGGTACTTTTTAAAGAGTTTTTGGTTTTTAAATAAATGGCATAGGCAGCTTGAGAAACAGACGATCGTTTGTTTTTTGGGTGTGAAACAAACAGGTAAGCCTAAAAATAAAATGTAGCAATGAGATAGCTACTAAATGATTCTAACTCCAGTCCAGTTATGTAGGTCCTAGGCATGTCCTTTTCCAAGCCTTAGCCGTTTCCAGTCCTTACAGCATCAGTAATTGGCTGAGAATTTTAAATAAAATACAGTGAAATATACTAGCTGCACGAATGCAAAGAAAACAGTTGTACGCAGAGATGACATCAACAGAAATGGCATCACTGACTCACACTCACACAGAGCACATGGGAACGAGGGAGCTTTATTGGTTACATATTGTGCTGCAGAGCCAACAGACAGCATTAGAGCCAGAGGACACATGCAGACAGGCAGCTTCAGCTCTACACATGCACCCAAGGAGTCCTGAGTCACCGCACATGGCTTTGCCCTGGTTCCAGGGACAGGGTCTGGCCTCCTTGGTCCCATGCTTGGAGCAGGAATGTAGAAGCTGCTGCACCTAGACTCCAAGGGGCAGGAGTGAGACCAGAGCACCTGCCTGAGCAAGTAGGTGTGGACCGGCAGATACTGATGTCCCCTAGCAAAGGGGCCTATAATGCAATAACAGTGTGAGGGCTACTTCCCTAGCCCTCCCAATCTTTAAAATACAAAAAAATAGACTTTATTCTCTTAAAAATACATTCCATTCAGTACATGTTCTGAGCTGTGAAGCAGCAGGAAAATAGGGCCCCTTTCCTATGATCTTGGTTGTGAGGCTATTCGGAGAACCCTGGTCCCCACTGGGGGTATTCAAAAGATAATGCCTAAAAGCAGCTCTTCCAAAGCAGTCTTGTCAGAGTAACAACAGAAAACCCCACACCAGCAAAGGCACCTAGGGACCCAGACGCAGGGTCCCTGTTCCTTTACTGGGAAGTGGTAGCACTTGGCACTAACCCGCTAAATGTAAAGAACTAAAACTGCCCCAGGATGACAAGTCCAAGATCAACACCGACTCCTGCACTCCATGAGGGGGATGATTTATGTGCACGCTTGCCTGGGGCTGAGGCTGGAGTCCCTGGCCCCACTGCAAACCCTTTTAACCCACACTGCAACTGCTCCAGTGCCCCTCAAAAGCAGAAACAGCCACGGCTGCTTGGCCCACCATGGCTGCAGCTTTCTCTGGTTGGTTTCGGTATCCAAGTGGTGAGAGACAGGCGGCAGCAGGTGGGACAGACCAGCTCCTGGCACTTAGGCAGCTCTGCTTCCTCCGCCCAAGCAGCCCTGGAGAGCCAGGTTCCCCAGCCTCACTCAGAAGCCTCCTGCAGCTGGACGCCTGCCAGGAAAACTGAGTGAGAGCCGAGCTGCAGAAGAGGTCTGTCATGAAGTGGGTTTGCTGCCTGGGACAGTGGGGACATTTGGCTTGATTAGACAACTGTTCAAATACCAGGTCTCTCCTTTATTTGGACATTCCCTCCAGGACCCCTGATGGTGAGGCCTGGGTCCAGATGGTCACACCTAGGTTGCTTTTTAGAAATGTGCCTTCCAACTTTGGAATTTGAGAGCCAGCCTTGCCAGCCATTTGAAGGCCAGAGGAACTGAACCTCCAGCCTCCACTTGCTATTACAAATGGTATTTCCTGCAATGCTGAGGACATTTAAAAATAAAATCTATTTTACAGCGGTTCTAGAAAGTGTGCAGATTAACAAATAAAATATTTATCCTGAAACAATTGTTACAAGCAAACCCTATTGCACTCAGATTTTAAGATAGCAGCCCCAGCAAGAGGGTACTACAGCTGTCCTCTTCCACAGAGCATTTTGGGTAGTGGTAGATGGTGGTGGTGCTGAAATGTGGAAAGATCCAGACTTTGGCACCAGGAGCTACAGCACCAGAATCCAGGGCTCCAACGCCCGAGGGCGAGCATTATTGGCGAGATCTTTGTAGGCATGGCTTGGCACCCTTCTGTTTCCATCAGCAGAGATGAGCCACAGACGTAGTTTGCTGTACCCTCAGTTGACCACCACAGAGGTCGGTTTCCTTTGGACTCTCAGGGTTGCCAACCAGTGAAGAATGACAGGTAGGCTGCAGGTGAGCGCTTGCAGCCTTGAGCAAGCTAGATTTTGGCCAGTGACCCAGGAGAAGCAGCAGGAAGAGATTTTGAAAACAGCGTCTTAGATTGAGTATCTGAGGCAGCGGTGTGGAGGAAAGGCAAGCCACATGACAATGCCCTTAGATTGGCAAGACTCTGGAAAGTGGAAGTGTGAGCAAAACATTCCTGTTCCTAAAAGTCACGCAGGTGCCCCCAAGCCTCCTCCAGGATCGCCACGTCTGATGCAGACGAGGACAAGACGACCGCTGGTTCCCACACTGAGTGGAGGCAGAGAAGACAACTCGGGAAGCGCAGGAACAGGAGACACACCAGCGTACGTTATGGAAAGCACCTGGCCTGAAAGCCAGGAGATGCTGTGTGGCATTGGGCAAGGCTGGTGCCAAAACGGGCTGCAGAGAACATTGCAACTAACTCTTCACTACACAGACTGGAGAAATGAGGCTGGGGAGGCTGCTCTGAGCTCATCCTCATGGCATTAGAGCATGGGGAAACTGGGAAGAATAAGGCCTAGAAAAACAAAGCCAGGGAGGAGGACGTGTTCCCCAAACCCATTTGGATGATACCTTCCAAAAGCAAGAATCACCCCCACAGGATGGTGGAAACAGAAGAATCGTACAAGGCCAGATTTAAGACCCTAAGAGACCATCTATTTCAAAGAAAACATTTTACAGATGGGGAAATCGAGGCCCTGAGAGGACAACGACTTGCCCAAGGTCACACAGCAAAGAACGAAGCCATGGAGAAAACTTCGCTTTCCTGACTCCTAGCCCGATGCTCTGTGAGGGAAGAGGGTCTGCTGAAAGGGGATCCTTTGAACTGAGGGAAACTACAGACAAAGCAGCGCCAAGGACATACGGTTCTTTAACTTCCCCATGTGAATGGTATAAGGAAACGAATCGATTTTTATTTATGTGGCTTTCTAAAAGGTTTGCTACATTTTGAACTATATTAACCTGGGGCTCCCGGTGGGCATGTATTACCTTTTCCTCCAACGAAGTCATCATCATGAGAGTTGGTTTGCAGGCATCACGGGCCCACTTCCGTAGGAATGCATCAGCTTGGTAAAGTGCGACAGCTCCTCCGTGGGGCACGGAGGAGGAGGAACAAAGTCCATGCCTTTCGTGGAGCTATTGCTTTGTGGAGTGACTAAAGGGAAATCGCTTCCTCCTGTCCACTTTCCCCCTTGCTGGGCGCTTCCTAGAAGGCAGAGTATGCTGGGTCAGGCCCAGTTAAGTCTGGGAATATTCCAAAGCTGGAAATGACGAAGTCAGCCTGAAGTCTCCCGCCACAGGACAGGAGCAGGCAATGCCAGCAGCATTATTGGTGCCCAGGGAAGGAGATGCACGAGGCTTGGGCACTTCCAGGTGCCTTTGGAAGGTGAGCAGAGAGATGGGGGCTTGGGAGAGGGACGATGTCATTCCAATAGGTGGGTACCCGTGTGCTCTGCCCCCAGGAAACAATGGTCAGCCGGGGGGCCTGGTCAGAGAAGCTTTAACCTAAAGAGTAGTCCCATAATCCCTTAGAGGCAGCACAGGCCTCTTCTGCCATAAAAGTCTGAGGAACTCCAGAGGGAAAAAGAATGGAGGCCCCTAGAGGGAGCTGATGGCTGGTAAGTCTCAGTGGGTACTTAGGCCCCTAGGACACACGAGGAATGAAGTGGATGCTGTGAGGAGACTAAGAAATCAGAACATGAACCACACAGAGGGGCTGCCCTATGACACGGGAACAACCCACCAAGAAGCAGAGAAGAGCTTTTGCCTGCTGTCATGTGGTGGGGATACAAGGGCTTTCTATATCTTTCCCTGTTTGGGGGCCAGAATGACCCATCCTACCTGGGGGACAGGGACAAGGAGAGAGGACTCATGCGTCAGGGAAGGCTGGGCCCAGGTGACTATGTCCAGCTTGTAGTTTCTGATCCCCTCTGGCCAACTGGCAAAGAAGACCTGAGCCACAGCTGGCTCTCTGCTCCAGTCTCCCAGCCAAGACCTGGTGTCTGTCTAGCCCACGTAACACCTTGGATCCTTCATAGGGCGGGAAGGTGGAGGAGCTGAGGAGCAGGAGCAGAGGAGACAGCAGACCTCAGCCGGCTGGCTCAGTTCTCCTCAGCACAGGGCCTGGTTGGCCGTAACCGTTCCTCGGCCCGTCCTTGCCCAGGCTCTGGCAGCCCCTGCTTCGCAGGCAGTTCAGACCGTTCCAGAGAGTTGTGCAGTCGCCTACAGGCACTGAGTGTATAATCATCACCTTCCTCCTGTGCCAATAAATGACAAAAGTGAGCTGTGGAGGACAATCACAGTGAGTAGCAGGATGCCCTGACTCCCCCCACCCCAATGGTCCTCTCCAAGCTGGCAAAGGGAGATGAGCACACAGTTCATAGTATAACTGCAAAGATACGCTCTGGCCTGAGGACAGGCCAGGATAAAGGTCCTTGGAAATCAGGGTGGACTACGAGCTCCAAACTGCTGGGAGCTCCTGGAGTAGAGTGGGAGGCTCAACAGAACAGGAGCCCTAGAGAGGACAGGGCCTGGAATGGGGCACAGAGTGGCCCCCATACAGGTAGGGCCAGCAGTCCTTGAGTTCTGCACAGGCAGGCCGCATGCTTCTGGGGCGAGAACCATTCCCTTGGGGGCGGGGGGAAGTCCGCTGGAAAGGAAGCTGGCTGGCTCTTTCCCTCCTTCTCACCTATAAACCATCACCGAAGTTCACATGCTGCCCTTTTCTATCCCATCCTGCCCCTCGTCCTCTCTCTCAGATACCCAAAACTTCAGGGGCCCAACACCCGTCTTCGCGCTCCTCTTCTACAGAATTCTGCTTTTTTAATGTTCCCCTTGGTCCTCCCAAGCAAATGCAGATGGAGTATGAGTGAGCAGTCAGGTGGGCAGGGTGGAAAGGACGCTGCGTTTAGAGACAGGAATCCTGGATTTGAATCTTAACTCTTCCAGTCATTCACTTGGGTGGCCCTGCGGAAGGCACTTTGTGTTTCCAGCTCTGTTTCTACATGTAAAAAATGGGACAGGACTGAGACTGAGCTGGTGAGCGGGGAGAGCGCGGTCCCGTGTTAAGTCCCCTGTAAAGGCTTACGGGGCTTTTCAAGTTAACACAGCCACCTCCTGTGGAAAGAAGGGAGCAGTGTCTAGGTCCAAAATGTCCTTCGTCATCACAGGCTCCACATCTAAAAGACACTCCCGGGGGGTTTCCCTGTCACATACTACTATGACCTTCAACTAAGGAGGTGGTTCCAGAGTTATCTGTCCTGTGATGAGCCAAACTGAACCAGTCCGGCTCTCACACTGAGGATATACTGGGCTAGACGGGTGTCTGAGGCAAAAGAAAGGGGCGCTCAGGAGTCAAGCTTATAAAGGAGGCCCAGTGGAAGCCCGGGCCCTCCTTGTCCCTTACATGCCAGCAGCTGACAAGGATCTGCTGCCTAAACTGAGGCGGGCAGGAACTCGCTTGCCTGGCCCCCTCTCCGTGCTCTACAGAAGAGCCCCCAGCTTCCTCCTCACCTCGAGCTGCGCAGCAGCTGCAGCTGGTTCCTGGGCTTCCAGGTGCTGCTCTGGGGGCCGTGAGGGGAGCTCCTGTGGCTGCTCTGGCAAACCCAGAGGATGGAGGCCGTCTCTCTCTCCTTTTTGTGTGGCCTTCATATATGAAGGCAAAATGGAGGAGATAAATTGGGATAAAGATTTTGGAAATGCCTGCCACTCTCAGCCCAATATCACCTTCAGGGTACTTTCTTCTTCCCGCCTTAGCTCTGAGCAACCCACTTGTACCCAGTGTTTCCCAACCCCATGGTCTCCATAAGACTGAGTCACACAGGCCAGGGCAGAATAAAGGAGAAAAGGGGGAAGTGAAAGGAGGGGGAAGGGAGAGAGAAGAGGCAGGGGAGAGGGAGAGAGGGAAACAAGTGCGACGTACCATGCCAGCTGAGTGGTTCCAGGCTGCGGCCGGGACGGCATCTCCTACCCGATTCCGGCGAGTGAGCACCTCGGACACGGTGAGGCTGCTTTGGGTCCTTCTGGAGGTGAGCTCAGGGGCTTCCCCCGAATTTCCCACCCTTCGAGCGCCCTGCTCAAAAAGGTGTGGCCTGGGCTGTTCAAGGTCTGAACAGTCTGTGGAAGACCTCTGGGTGTAGGCGTTGCTGGGCTCCACGTTTTTAACTGCTCGAGTTAGGGGGTCTTCTAAAGAGTTCAAGTCTCGCCTGCTCTTCCAGGCATTCCGCACAGTGACATGTCTGGCATCTGAGGGGCCCACTTCTGAAGGGGCACTATGGCTTTTCCACCTGATTGTCTCCACTGGGGGTGCATGGCTGTTCCTCTCCACAGGATCCGACGGCTTGATGATAATGCTGCTCCGCGAGACCACTGTTTCTGGCCTGTTCTTCAGGGACGCATCTCCTGCTCCTTCAGCTTCTGTAAACTGCAGGGTGATGTCATGTTTGTGAATGGAGAGCTCAAAGGGAGAGCTGACGTGGTTGCTAACTGACGTGAGCTCTGGTGGCCCAACCTGGATGTTGCTGGTGGAGGTGTGCCTCTCCCGCAGGCCCTCGCCTGGGTTGGCTCTGGGGCTGCCACTGTCAGAGGGGTAGATGGTAATGCTGCTTGTCACTTTGTTTGGCCCTGGCCAAACAGAGGTGGAGGTGGATTGCTGTTTCTCTAATGCGGCCTCAGTTCCAGATCCTCCCATAATTTTTTTCACATCCTTATCAACGATGATAGGTTTGATGACGGCCCTGGACCGCAAGGCCTCTCTGGGGCTGAAGGGGCGCTGGCTTTTTACCCCAGCACCATTGGCATCCGGGAACTCCACGGCATTGGTGGAGGCTCTCACTGGCTTCACAGATTCATTTTCTGCCCCAGCATCTTTATCATTCTCAAACAGGGCAGCTCTGAGTCCCCCGCGGGATCTGGCTTTTTCTCTCGAGTTGAGCTGTTGTCTGGGCTCTGGCTCCGGAGTGATGGTTGTGTTTACCAACTTGGCCGTAACAAGAGACACCACGTCCACATCATCATCTGAGTCTGGCTTCTCTCTGCCACTGGATTTGATGACTCGACACCTCAGGGCCTCATGCTGACTGCTGTCTTCCATCACAACTGCTATGGGTTGATCAACTCCTTTATTTGGGGTTGAAAAGCCCTGAAGGATGTTCTCTTGGCTTCTGGAGCTATAAGGATACTTTGATAAAAGTGCAGCCTTGGCATTTGCGGAAGTGGTATCAGCCTCCGGGCCACTGGCAGCCTTTCTGCCCTTAGAGAGTCCTTCTGAGGAAGATCTTCGAGATGAGGCCAGAGCTCCAATGGTCTTAGAACTGCCAGAGTCTGAGGCCTGAGTGACTTGGCTTCCACTGCCAGGCCCCTGCCCCCGCCTGCCAAAGAGGGCCTCAGCAGAAGCGTCCGAAGCCTTGTCAGCTCTACCCAGTGTGTCGTTGGGAACGGATCCGTGAGTGGTCTCACTAAACGTTCGTGTTGTCTTCTCTACCTTTCCCTTCAGCCCACTCTCAGTACCTGGCTTGGGAGTTCCCTTCCAAGCTTTACTGTGCTCCTGAGCCGCGGGCGGGTAGCGGCTGAGCACAGACGGCTGCTCCCTGCACTTCTTCCCTTCGCTCTGAGAAGAGCCAGATGCAAATCGGTCTTCAGCCCTCTTCGTGTCCTGGGCCCCGCCGTCCGCCCCCGCCCCAGGGTTGGAAGCTCTGGTGGTCCTCCTCGCGGTGAGACTGGGCGAGGAGGCCTGCCTGTTGCTCAGCGGGTAGTTCTCGTTGTTGACGGCGAGCTCCCTGTTCCGGTGCCTTTCCCGCCTCTGCTGGGGTGACAGCTCCCGGGGCGCGTGCCTGGACACAGGCACCTCGCTCCCGAGGCCCCTGGACTTAGTCCTCTCGTGCCTGCCCTTGCTGGACAGGAAGGCCTCCTCTCCCTCCACCTCCCCGTTCTCTAGCTCCTTCTGCTTCTTGATTTGTAGCTTTATCTCCTCCAGCTGGCTGGCTAAGAGTTTGTTTTTATTTTGTTCACTTAGGTAATTGTCCTGAAGGTCATTATTTTTGGCCTTCATTTTCTTAAGCTCTTCTTCCAAAGATTCAAAGTGTTTGATTTGTGTCTTAAGTTTCTCGATCTCTTGGTTAAGGTCTTTGACTTTATTGTCTTCCTGATTTCGGTTCTTCTCGTTTTCTGACTTGTTTCTTGTTTCATTCTCCACTTGCTTTAGATAGTCCAGACTGCCCTTCCTCCTCGACTCTTTGGACGGGAGTGTGGAGGAGATGCCGTCCTCGATCCGCAGGTCGTTCCTGTCTAGGAGATTCGAAGCATTCCTTGTGTAATCTCGGTTCATTTTTTTGTTCTGTTCCAGTTTTTGAGTGAGCTCTTTTATCAGTTTCTCATTTTCTTTCTCCTTCTCATTCAAGTATTTTCTCTCACTTACAAAGCTCAGAGTTAATGATTTCAGCTTTTCCAACTCTGACACTAAACTCTGCTCAGTTTTACCCAGGCGGTCCTCGGAAGATTCCAGTTCTTTCACTTTGACCCTGAGCATTTCCAGCTCCGAGGAGATTTTCTTTGTCAGGTTTCTCTCCTCGTTCAGGCTCAAACAGAGTTGGGTACAGTCATTCTTACTCCTGCTGAAGGCCTCCTCTAGCTTCTCCAGTTCAGCCATTCGTTTCTGAAGCTGCTCAATCTCGGCTTTCAGCTCCCGGGTAAGGTTTTCCTCCTCTTCAAGTTTCTCCTTCATCAGCTGGCACAAATCCTCCGCTCTCTTAATTTCCTCGTCTTTGCCCTCGATCCTCAGCACTCGCTGGCGCAGCACTTCGATCTCGGCCAACATGCTGGAGTTGCTGCCTTCGGCCTGTATCACCTTGTCCTGGAGGTCCAGGAGCTCATCCTCCGCTTTCTGGAGGTTTTTTGTGGCTTCCTCCAGCTCATCAAGGCGGCGGCTTAAACTCTGTAACTTAAACCGCAGGTGGCGGCTAGAGGCAGTATCTTTGTAGCTTGTAAATTCGGCCATGTCTACTGCCAGCCAATGTGGGCTCCTAGAGGCACCCAATTCCACTCGAGGGGATGAGAAATGGTTACCTTTCTCTTGGCATCCACGACCTTCTTTGGCAGCTGGAGATCATTATCAGTCTATGGGAGGAAAGCAGAAAGCATGTCAGGCCGCAAATCTATTTGATCTGGGATCTGGGATTCAGATCCCAGCTGTGAAAAGAGCTCCTGAATATAGTTCTGTACCTAGAACATAGCAGGCGCTCAGATTTGTTGAATGGATGAATTTGAATAAATCTGCAGGAAAACACAGCTTCTCTCTGGCTGATACTGAACTGGTAAGCAGTTTCCCCCTATGAAGAATGCCACCAGTGGCAGCAGGGCAAAAAGACACAGAAGAAACGCTTTGTTTCTCATGGCAGCTCCGAGAAAATCTTTACCGTTTGCCACCTGCATAATCTCAGGAGAGTCATTAACTTTTCTACAAATCATTAAATCAACAGCCTTGGTTTTACTTAGCTTTAAAATGGGGGCAATGATGCCTACCATACCCCTCCCCAGTACTGTCCTGAAATAATGCATGGACAGCTCTTGGTAACAAAGCAGTAAACAATCCCAACTACAGCTTCAGGGAAAGAAGTAAACCAGTTAACAAAAAGCACCTCCCTGACACAGGGAAATAACAAGACCCGGGCTCTGTCAGAGGAGAAAGGAAGGGCTGTGTCCCAGAGAATTTATAATCTTGGGTCTGCCCTCTCTTGAGTTCAGGATTCAAATGGACACCACCTTAGTGGTCTGGGATCAACCCGCCCTCGCTGAGAATCTAACCTACAATGGTCTCCGCCTGCTAACAGCCCTGGGAAAGCCTGTTCACCTCCCAGAGGTAAACAAAAATACTCTGGGGAGAGAGACTCCCTACCGAGGTCACACAGGAGTCCCACAGACGAAGTCCTGCTGACGCCGAGTCTACAGTCCCAACTACACAACACATAAGGGCCAACCTGCACTATGGCTGACAAAGGAGGTCTGCACCAGTGAGCTCGAAGTCAGTGCGACGGCCTGGAGACCGTAATGAAGTGCTTTCCAGTGTTGCAAGTCATAAAAGAGGGAATCAAAAACAGGAGGCTATCCGCAAAGACAGGAAGATTGAAAGATCAACCAAATAGAATTGCTGGAAATGGAAAGAAAAATAGCAAATTAGATGCAAATGAAGAGAGCATAGTGGTTAGGAAGAGAGATGAGGAAATTACAAAAGGCAGCACAGAGTTAAAAAGACTGAAAAAGTGAAAGAGACGTCAACAGACATGGGGAATAAAACAAAGAGGTCCCAAAATGAGCAAGTTTAACAGGCAGTCCAAAAGGAAGGCACAGAGAGAGGGGAGAGGCAATACTTGAAGAGCTCCCAGAGTCAATGGAAGACACAGAGCCTCATATTCAGAAAGCAAACTGTCAAACAGGCAGGATAAAGATTAAATCTGAACCTAGATACATCATGAGGATACAGCAGAATACCACAAAGAGAAGATCCTATAAAAACAACAAGAAGGGGGGTAAAAAGACAAATATTCTATGAAGAAATAACAACTCAACTGGCTTCTCAGGAGAAATTTTTTCTTTTTTGGCTGAGGATGGTTCACCCTGAGCTAACACCTGTTGCCAGTCTTCCTCTCCTTTGTCTGTGGGCCGCCGCCAGAGCATGGCCACCAACAGAAGAGTCGTCTAAGTCCGTGCCCAGGAACCAAACCCAGGCTACCGCAGCGGAGCACACCGAACTTAACCACTAGGCCACTGGGGCCAGCCCTCAGCAGAAACTGGTAAGTAGATGTCAAGAAGAAGAAAAAAGACATGGTAGTATCTTCAAAGTTCTAGGAGAAAGTAAGTTTAACCCAGAAGTAAATACCCAGTGAAACTATGAAAGAAGGTACAATTAATTAGAAACACTTTCAGAATAAAAGGAAAATAAAAACCCAAGTGTTTATTATTCACAGACCCTCACTGAAAGAACTGTTTATGGACGTACTTCAGAATACAGAAAACTGATTACTTAAGGAAAGCATGAGATGCAAAAAGGAATGGTAGGCAAAGAAATTAACCCAAACAAGCACTGATTCAGTTAAACAATAACAAAAATTAATGGGAGGGTTGGGGGCAGGATAAAATCAAAGTGGAGCGAAAAAACTGGACAATAATAACATGCAAGTCATAGAGAGAGAAATCAGAACTCAACGTTCTTAAAACACAGTATTCCTTGGGAAGAGGACAGGTTATTATAACTAAGTTTAGACCTGAAGAGTAGCTATCAATCATATATCTGATAAGACATTAATAAACAATATATAAAGTATTCCTACAACTTAACAAAAAATAACCTGATTAAAAAATGGGCAAAGGACTTGAATAGACATTTCTCTAAAGATGATATCCAAATGCCACAAGTATAGTAAAAGATGCTCAATAATCACTAAGCATTAGGGAGTGCAAGTCAAAATCACAATGAGGAGGGCCGGCCCAGTGGTGTAGTGGTTAGGTTTGCACGCTCCACTTCAGCAGCCTGGGGTTTACAGGTTTGGATCCTGGGTGTGGACCTAGCACCGCTTGTCAAGCCATGCTGCTGTGGAGGCGTCCCACATAAAATAGAGGAAAACTGGCTCAGCAGCAATGATCCTCACCAAAAACAAAATCACAATGGGGGGGTCCAGCCCCAGTGGTTAAGTTCAGCACGGCCTGCTTTGCCGGCCCAGAGTTGGTTCCCGGGCTTGGACCTATAGTGCTCTGGTAGCAGCCATGCTGTGCTGGTGGCCCACATACTAAAAGGAAGATGGTTACTATCAAATAAACAAAAAATAAGCGTCAGTGAAGATGTGGAGAAACTGGAAACCCTTGTACACTGTTGGTGGGAAAATAAATGGTACAGTTACTAGGGAAAACAGTATGGTGCTTCCTCGAAAAATTAAAAGTAGAATTACCATGTGATCCAGCAGTTCCACTTCTGGGCACAGATCTAAAAAAACTGACAGCAGAGTCTCAAAAAGATATTCGCACACCTGTGCATAGCAGCATTACTCACAACAGGCAAAAGGTGGAAGCAACCCAGCAAGGGATGGATGGATACACAAAATGTGGTATATACATTAACATATTATTCAGTCTTAAAAAGGAAGGAAATTCTGTTGAGGAGGCACAGAGCAAAATGGCGGGGTGAGCTGACCCGGGATTCTCTCCCCTCCAAAATACAACAAAAGATTGGAAGAACTGAATTTCAGAGAATAAACATAATGCCAGCTCGTTAGAGACCTACAATACCAAGAAGGCGGAGATCATAAACCTTGCTTTACACCTTTGGAGGCGCTGGAACGGTAGGAGAGAACATCGCTCCCTCCCCTAGAGTCTGCGATCGCTGCGGCGCAGGTCGGGAAGGAGCGAGGGAGGGGCCACACGACTGGGGATCATCCAGGACTCCTGCCGCTGATTCAGTGGAGACCCGCTGACAGGGGGGAGAGCCTCCGTCCGCGGGGACCCTATAAATCAAGGGCCTTGGGAGACCAGAGAACAGAACTGATCTGAACCCAGACCGGCGTGTGTGAGTAACAGCCCCCCCCCCCCGGCACAAAGCCAGTGGGCACAGCCATCTTGCCCCAAGGCGGAGAGCTAACACGCCACTCTCGACCCCCATCTAGTGGCGACAGGCTGTAACTGCAACTGAATTCTACCACCATGAGAAAAAACCGCTCCTCTACCATCCAGCAATTTATAAAAGCCCAGACCAGAAGGAAAACAATAAAAACATAGAATTAAGTCCTGAGGACTTGGAATTAGGTAAACTCAGTGATAATGAATTCAGAGCTGCTATAATCAAAAAACTCAATGAGGTAGAGAGAAAGATAGAAAAACAAGCCGAGTTCTGGAGTTACTTCACAAAAGAGATTGAAATCATAAAGAAGAATCAAACAGAATTACTTGAGATGAAAAACACAATGGACCAGATAAAACAGAATACGGATTCCCTGAATGCCCATGTAGACAACATAGAGGAGAAAATTAGCATAATCGAGGACAGACAGGCTGAATGGCGCCAGACAGAGGAAGAAAGAGAACTAAGAATTAAAAAAAATGAGGAAAATCTCCGAGAGATAATGGATTCAATGAGGAGTAAGAACATAAGGATCATAGGAATTCCCGAGAATATGGAAAAGGAAAATGGAGCAGAAAGTGTGCTTAACGAAACTATTGAAGAGAACTTCCCAAATCTAGGGATCAATGGAGAAAATGTGTGTAGAGGAGGGTTTTAGATCTCCTAGATTTGTCAATGTAAAAAGACCTACCGCAAGGCACATAGTAGTAAAGTTGGCAAATAGGAATGATAAGGAGAGAATACTCAGGGAAGTAAGGAAAAAAAAGAGAATAACCTATAAAGGAGCCCCTATCAGACTGTCAGCGGATTTCTCTACAGAAACCCTACAAGCTAGGAGAGAATGGAGTGATATATTCAAAGCTTTAAAGGATAAAAACCTTTAGCCAAGAATACTCTATCCAGCAAGAATTTCCTTCAGATATGAGGGAGAAATTAAATCTTTTCCAGACAAACAAAAGTTAAGGGAATTTGTAACTAAAAGCCCTCCATTACAAGAAATCCTCAAGAAGGCTCTCATACTTGAAAAAAAGAAAAAAGGGAGAAAGGGGACACAAGCCACAGACTAGGGAGACCGATGGATAGAACCAGAACAGGATAGCAAATATTCAATTATAGCATTAGGGTAAAGGGAAGGAAACTACCAAAACAAGGATGAGCTTAGCACTCTAACTACAAATTAATAAGATGAGTTGGAATAAAAAATTAAAATAATTATTTAGGAGGGGAAGAGCAAAGGGTCTAAATCAGTATTGGTCAAGTAGGTAAGAGACCACCAGAGAACAGACTATATTATACACGAGATTCTAAATACAAACTTCAAGGTAGACACTAAAATAAAGTACAGAACAGAGTCACAAATCATAGATAAGGAAAAATCTAAGAAACCCAGCATAAGAAATTGCAGTATTAAATGGGTAGTCTAAAGCACACAGGAAAACAAGATAATGAGCGACACATTGACAGCATTAAGTCCACATGTATCAATAATCACTCTCAATGTGAACGGATT